CATACCAGGCCTGGGCATATGTGTGAAGGAGTGTAAATCAGTCCACAAGAGAGACACCTGCACACCCGTGTTTACTGCAGCTCTGCTCGCAACAGCCAAACTGCCATCAGCCCAGGTGTCCAAGAACCAATGACCTGACAAGGAAAATAGTGTAGCACACGTACTGTGGAATATTGTGCAGCCAGGAAGAAAAATGAAACTGTCATTGTAGGGACAGGAGCAGTGTTGAGTGAGATAAGCCAGGTTCAAAGAGCCAAATATGATCCTGACGACGACAGTACATGGACGTGAAGGGGGCCGGTCTGCAGGGGATCAAGGGACGGAAAGAGGGTGGAGAAATCCTACCTGGAACCATATGAGGACAGCATAAGGAGACCCCAGACGCTGTCTGAAGGGGGACGAGGGGACTGGAGGATAAAGCAGGGGAGCTCGTCGAGGTGCACGGGACGCGTCTATGCAGCTCTCACCACGAGAGCCCACTACTGGTAATGTATACTCATTCAAATAGCGTTTTCAAGATACAAGGGACAGCCCATCCCCAAACCCAAAATACTGCTTACCTTTCAACAAACAGCACAAATGAGGCCAAGGGAACAGCTGCAGGGAATAAAAGCCGAGAACCCACAAGGTCTGGGGCCCTTTAAGGCCTCCACCTTGCAGCCATAAGGGGGCCTGGCCAGTCCCGGTAGCGACCCCTCAAAACGCTGGAAAAAAGAAGGGGGAAAGTTCCATTTGCACGCTGGCCTTAAAAAAAAAAAAAAAAGGTCAATTTTCTGCTTCGGGTGAGGGCGCCGCTGAGAAACCTCCACAACGTGAGGAAGCCGCCCGCACCACTGTGCGTGCGACGCCCTCGGGAGCGCCAGAAACCGCGAGGCCGTCACTGCGCATGCGCGGGGCGGGGAGCACGTGACGCACCCCGTGAGCGGCTCTGCGCCTCTGCGCATGCGCCGCTGGGCTCCCCGCCGCGCGAGTCGCGACCGCAGCCAGTGCGCTGCTCAGAACACAACCGTTGCAACGCAGAGGCCGGCGAGCGTCGGCCACCGGCAACGCCTCTAGAGCGATGGCAAGGTGTTGAGGTTCCTCCGTCCACGTGAGAACATACAATTAGCCCTTAAGTATGCGTGGTACGATGGGGAACTTTTGACAGTGGGGTTCTCTTGCCTTGCCCACCGAGCCCCAAGCCCAGTCTAGTGACATTGGCTTAACCGCGGGGGCAACAGGGAAGGGGATCGAGAGCCCAGAGGTATCAGCAGAGAAGTGAGGAGGGGCAGGGATGGACGGTAAGTAACAGTAGCCTAGATCTGGCAGTCCCTGGGCAGGCGCTTGAGGAGACAGGAGGGGACATGTCTGCCAGAGCGTTCAGCCTCTCACGGGGGAGCGGCATCCTGCGCCCCCAAGCTCTAGGCCTTTGCTGGCAACTGCTAAGAATTTCAGAGCCCCAGGAAATCCTACAGGCACCTGCCAAGTGGGCTGGGTGGGAGGCCGCTGGGCAGCCATCCTCCTTCACCCTTGGGGAAAACAGACGGGCCTGAAGGCCTACAAGTGGCTTGTAGGCACCAGGGAATCTTGCAAAGGCTGGAGGTCAAGGAAGGAAGAGGCTCCCAGCCCCCATGCCGACTTCCACCAGCAGTTCCAGAGGATTCTCAGCTTTCTACAAGGGCTGGATAAATTCCAGGCGGAGACCTGGTTCTGCGGCTGAGTAAGCTGGAAAACCTCTATGGTCACCCAACGCCTTTATTTTAAGAGGAACAGAGAGCCAGAGTGACTTGTCTTGAGGCCTTGCAAGCTGGAAGGAGGAGATTTCTGCTGGACTCATCAATGGCCCTGGTTGGGCCTAGCACACAGCAAGTTACTGAATAAAAAATGGCTAGACTGAAAAGCAGGCCGGGCAACACCATGGCTTGTCGTCTGTGCTGCTCACTGTGGCGAGGGAGCATCTGAAGGCATGTTCTTGGGGAGTTCCGCCTCTGGGCCAAGCTGACTGACCGCTACTCTAGTCACGCACAGTACAGCCAATCCCACAGGGAGCCAAGGTTCCATCTCCCAACAAAGACCAGAACCATTCAGTGGAACTCTCAGGCATGGTGGTGATTGTCAGTGGTCCCCTTAAAACCTGACTCAGTTACAGAATCATCTTCCAACACCCAGACCACCCAAGCCTGGCTTGAGTTCTGTGGAGATGACAAAGGTTTCCAGCTTTGTCACAAAACTTATTGGTCCTCAGAGCTGTGAGCAATTGACCAATAAGCTTGAACCCAGACTCAGGAAACTGGAGCCAACGAGAGACCCTCCAAGGCAAAAAGCACTATCCTCAGAAGGAAACAAAGTTCCCTCAGCCTGTTATTAATCCTTGTCTTCCTCCAGTAAACAAAATGCCATGCCCTTTGTCCTTTGACCTGCTAAGAGACACTATTAAAATGGGGCGGTAAATCCTGAATCTCTGAGGCACTTAGAAGCTGAGGTGCCCGAGTAAGGTAGACGCTTTCCTGACTTTGCCCGTTTTTCATTTGATTTATAAAAAGGACTCTAACCCAAGATTCAGAACTATGTAACAGCCCTGTAACAGAAAAGAAACACAACTGGCCAAGGAACATGCTTCATCTCATTAATTCAAACTGACTCAAAAACCCGTCACTTTTTTTTTTTTTTGTGGTTCCAGGGCTTGCACTCGGCCTACACCTTGAGCCACTCCGCCAGCCCTTTTGTGTTAGGTATTTTTGAGATAGTCTCTTGAACTACTTTGATCTCTGCCTCCTGAGTAGCTAGGATTACAGGCGTGAGGCACTGGCGCCCGGCAGACTCATGGCTTTTCACATCAGTGCAGTTGGAAGAGGAGATTAGAGGAGAGATTTTGTACTGGCAGGTCGGGGGAGGGCATGCCACTGGTAGGAGTTGAAATTCAAGGGGATGCTGGAAGACAGCATGGAATGTATCTTAAAACTGTCAACGCACCAGTCTAACACAGACGTTCCCCTTTTTGGAATGTTTCCTCTGTACAGCTCTAACACGCACTCACCACAGTGTTTTTCATGTCAGAAACAACCCGAATGTTTATAAGTAGGAACTGTTAAAATGACAATATATCCAAGACAATGAAGTGCCCTGTGGTTGTTCAGAATAAAGTAGACCCATATAGATCATTCTGAAACAGGCTCAGGAGACACTCAGCGGAAACAGAACAAGACGGGTGTGTTTGTGTGCTAAGGATGGATCTTTCCCAGGAGACTCTGGGAACTGGATGGAAGAAAGCATGGCTTCTCATGGTCCAGCCTTGTAAGTGTTTGGATTACATGTGTTACTTTTAACAAGAAAAACATCCCTCTCCTTAAAGATCAGAGCTGCCGTCCTTTCTTGCAGCCTTGTGCTAAGATCTTGCCACAAATAAGCCAGACCATTCCCCTCCTCCCAGGTCATCAGACAATTCCAAACAGACCAGCTGTCACCATGATGGTCCCAGGAAAGGAGTGGGGGAACCCCTACATTTTATCTTCCCATCCAGAAAGCAGAATCTTTGCCTGGCGATCAGCTGCTGAGATTGGATTAAGCACACTCATCAGTTAAAGCTGTAGTATCTAGAAATCCAGTCTCCTTTTCTCTGGGTGTTCAGGAGGGTAAAACAAACAATGGTGGTGATAAAGATTTTCAAAGACTGTTTAAAGCTGCAGGGTAGAAAGAATGAAGAGGAATGTGCTGGACTTCACTGAGAACTCAGGGTTTGGGAGTCTTGCCAGAAGTTGATAGTATTGTGTTTTGATATATTTAAGCAAAAATCTTGAGTTATTACCCTCCAATGAAAATGCAGGACTAACATCCTTATAGATGGGCCATGCTCTGCCTGGGGTCAACAGAACTGAATGTGGGAGGAATCACCAGCTTAGAAAGCTCCAAGAGAATGTTCCAGACAAAGAGGACCACTTCTGGGTCATGTTCCCCCACCCCTTTTCCCAGGGCTGTGGTTTGGGGAGGATCAGAACACCACCATTCACAAGTACTGTCAAGCCACAAGAGCAAGGAGAAAAACCCTTGGAATTCCAGTTTGGCCAGGATCCCTCACCACTGGGTTAGGTAGTTGGCAGAAACACCCAAAAAGATTTGATTCAGGGATCAGTGGTGTAAGGTCGTAGTTCCTGCACTTTCAAACATCCTGAATAGGAGTGGGCAAGAAAATGGAACCAGAATTCTTGCAATGGCCACTAGAGAACAACTCAGCAGCTCTTGCTTTTGCCTGTGACCCTGAGCAGTGGTGTGAAGGACAGGCAGGGAAAGCCAGGCGTACTTCCTATAGACATGCCTCTGGAGTCCCTGCACCAGAGGCCCTACTTCCTTACTGCTGGGATTCTTTAGACATGCCTCTGGAGTCCCTGCACCAGAGGCCCTACTTCCTTACTGCTGGGATTCCTTAGGGCTGAGCAGAGGGGAAGTAGGGAAGCAGCAGCAGGACCTCCAGGGAACCAGCACCACCCGCAGCAACCACCTGTTCCAGAGAGCTCTTTGACACACCTGCACCTTCCCAGAGGAATCCCTGGGAGTTCAACAGAGATCCAACTCAAGTTACAAAGACAGGAAACCCGGCAGCCCACACTTAACTGAGGATGTCACTCCTTCAGACAGAGCCTGGGTGGTGCATGGGGAGGCTGGACAGCAAGGGTGTGTCTTGCTAGCGCTGCTGGACAGCTGCTTGAGCCAACTGCAGACCTTCACGGTCCCCAACAGAAGACGGGTGTCTGCTCTGACCACAGCTCCTTGTGGGTCTCCTGGACATGAGCTCTGGGGCCACACAGCTCTGGGGAACTCTCCTGTCCCCTTCCCAGACCCCACTGTTCATCCTCTAGAAGAAATTGTTCTTATCCCAGGCCGGCGCTAGCCTCACCACTATCTTGGGCCTGCAGCTTAAGTGGCTCAGGCTCAGCAAGCTAGTGTGGCAGAAGCGTAAAGGTTTTGTCCTTTGCCCAAGAGTTGCACACAAAAAAAATGTACGGTCTCCCAGTAGGTACGACATCTTGTTCTCTTTTTAAAAATAAATATTTATAAACTTAGGGAGGAAGAGTCAAAGAACCAGAGTTATCTTTCCCTCCAAAAGCACAAATGTCCCATGAGTCAAACCAAGGTTAAAGTCCACCAACTCATAAATGAAACTTCTCTCCCTGGAAACTGCTATGTTGAGGGCAGGTGGGCAGGGGAGCTGATCTCTGGCACCCAGCCCCTCAGTCCCCCTTGGTGATGAGGTCCTCGATGTAGGCATCCAGCTCATCATCTGTGTTGATGTCTATGTCCTAGAACAGAGGGGAGTGGGGGTCAGCCCCAGCCGGAAAGTGGTAGTGGGGCTCACCTCTCCACCCTTCTTCTCATTCCTGGGGCTGAGCCCAGAGTCCCCTCCCATCCCCTCCACCTCTGCTGGCAGGCTCCTGTCCCATTTTTATTCATTTGTTCATGGTGCTGGAGTTCGAACTCAGGGCCATGCACTTGATTATAGCTGTACCACTTGAGCCAACACCCAGCCCTTTTTTGCTTTTACCTATTTTTCAGGTAGGGTCTTGCGTTTTTGCCCGGGGCCAGCCTCAAACCACAATCCTCCTATCTATATAGCCTCTGGCATGGCTGGGATTACAGCCATGAGCCACCCAGCTGTTCTGTCCTGTCTTGATCGTGCACTAATCCCCATCTATGTGCTGAGATGATACCCAGGCTTCTTACTGCGGCCCTGTCTCAACCCCAACTTCTTATCTGCATTAGATGTGGTTCCCTCAGATATTAGCAATGTGCCCAGCTCTCCCCGTTCTCACTGTCACCACCCAATGTCTGGGTCTCCACTATCTCTCGATGACTGTGGCAACTTCATTATGAGGTCCCCTGGTTCTAACCTGAACCCCTGCAACCAGCCAGATGTTATACTGAAAACCAAACCATCCCACCCCCTTCCAGTGACCGCCACTGCTCTCAGAACCAAATCCCATTTCTACTACTGCCCACAAACTCCCTGCTCAGGAGTCCTGCTCATTCTTCCCTCTGCCTGGAGTGGTCATGTTCCACCTTTGACATGGGCAGTTGTCAGTCTCCACTCAGAGACCACCTTGAACACTCTCGTCAGGAGCCCCCCACCAGTTTTTGGTCTCTTGTCAATCACCTCATAGCACCATCACCCGTAACATCTGATGTCTCTACCAGACCGTGAGGCTGTGAGAGCAGAACCTTATCTGGCCTATCTTGCTCTCCCCAGGACAGGACAAGGCAGGTCCTTACTGTTCACTGCCTGGAAGGACCAAACCCTAAAGCCCACCCCCCAACTTCTGAACTACTTGATCCTACCTGGGGGGTCATCTAGAAAAGCAAGAACTTTGTTTATGGCTTGGAGGGTTGAGGGTTCTCGAAGAAGATTTTACCTAGGAATATCTAAACAAGGGACAAAGTCAGGTGCAGAGGGTCTGACTGGGAGGAGGCCCAGGCAGCTACACCATCTCAAGCCCTCTGGTCAGAATGCTATAGCCAGAATTGCTACAGGACTACAGAGTCCTACAGGAAGGAGCAGGAAGTACCAGCCCCTCCCTGAGACCAGGTGTGTCAGGCAATGACAGGGCTCCCACTCACCTCCTGCACCTTCTGCAGGAGCGCCACAATGTTGGTCCTCAGCTTGTGCAGCTTCTCCTCCGTCTCCCGGAGCTTTCTCTCAGACGTGCGCAGACTCTCCTCTGAGGCCTTGGCCCGCGAGTCGGCACGGCTCTGGTAGGAATGGCATAGATTCTGGAGCCCTACTTCATACTGCTTGAAGTACTCCTTCTGGGAAAGCAAGCCGGAGGAGGCATGAGTTCACAGGGGCCCCTAGAGCCATTTTCTAGGCACGGGACCACACAAGGGGCCTGGTTTGAGAGAACACAATACAGAGGCAAGCTGCCTTCCTCAGTCCAGGGGCCTAACACCTATGCTGTGGGGCTGCCACGAGGACAGGGACCCGATCACACAGTAAAGCACGGAGCACAGTGTTCTGGCAGATAACAAGTGGTGAGCACCCAGAAAGCCTCATTCTTCCCCTTCCGAATGGCCAAACAAGGACTCCAGGATCACCTCTCAGCATAATGAGCCCGTCTAACTCCAGAAGAGCCCTTCCGCACTCCTCTACATGTCTTACCCAACAGTGTCCGGACTAAGTGCTCTTCCACAAGTACTAATCAGACACCTTCCCATGGCAAATAGCCCACATTTGTGAGTGAGACATTTTTGCAGCATCTCCCGAGGACCTGAAACCTCCAGTGGGTGGTGGTATTAATTAGCAGTTTGTCTAGACGGATGGCTTTTCAAACTTTGAAAAGGCAGATGACGTATTTCAAAGATGTTACATGGTTCTCAGTGTAGAAAAAAATTCAAGTAGTATGTCTTTGGATTAAACCATTTATAACATGATTTACTTGTAAATCACCACTGAGAGCAAGGAGGTCATTTTGAGGAACAGAAATGCACAACTCCTGGGTAGTCACTGTAGTGACCAGTTGGTCAGACCACCATTCTTTACTTCTACAAAGACAAAGAGAGAGAGCTTCTGACTGCTGTTTCTAAAACTGTTAGTGCCAAGTATTTCACTGTGTCATTCACTTCACAATCAAGACTACTTCTCTTAAACCAAGATAGCAAAAGAAACTTTACATTCTGCACAAAATTATCTTGGCAACACAAAATAAGTAATTCAAAGCCAGCTCCAAAGTATTAAAATTCAGTCTACGATGATGTCTTGAGGACAACCATACTAGGTTTGGGAAGTTTTTGGTTGGTTTTGTTGTTTTTATCTTTTTGAGGTAACTGCAGATCTGTAAGCAGCTATTCATTAGTTTTTTTAAATGGTATTTAATTAATATTTGCAGGGCCTCTCTAAAGCTTTCTGGAACTCTGGATCTGGCATGTCAGGGAAAAGGACCATAATTTGCAGACCGATAAGGACATGATGAACTTAGAAGGCTCAAGTCCCTGACAAAAAATAAAGGTTTGAGTGGCTCTAGCCATTACAGCCAAAGGTCAAAGCTGCAGACTGGTATTATACCTCCTTTAAAAAGTAAGTTCAATGAGTATTTTTAGACTCAAACACTCACACTAACTGTGATTTGGGCCAAGCAGTCATGCCCACTGCAGAGGTCCCACTGCACCCAGGCTTTGCTCTGAGTTTAGCAACAACTTTAAGCCAAAAGCAACAAATCTGACAAGAAGATGCCAGCCAGACCTAGCCGCCCTACCAGCTGTTTGTTGCCCTGGGATCTGCAGAGCGCACCCGCAGCCTAAACAAGGGCAAAGCTGAAGCCCGGAGCGTTCTGTCACGAGCTCTGCCTCCTCTCCCAGCTCTTCACAAGCGCCATGCCTCCCTTTCTCATGGGGACAGAAAGACCTCTCCTAACAAGTGCGGGGTTCAAATCTGAGCTCTCTCACTGACCAATAAACTCAGCTCTCTGAGCCTTAGTTTCTTCAACTCCTAGTGTATTCTATGTTTTTCAAAGTAGAAAGACAAAACCCTCATGTTTTCCTCTCTGGCAAACTGAATCAAGCACGTAGCTGCCACATGAGGGTCCGACATCTTGGGACATACAACCCTGCAGTCTCCAGCCTAGTATTTTGCCCTTCCCTAGAAAACCCAACAATTCCCACCACATAAACTCCCCACTTCACAGGGCTGACTCCCTCCCAGAGCGTTCCACCCTTGCCTCCCCCACATCTCCACCTACTCTCTGCACATCAGCAGCATAAGACATGGTGCTGGCACTTCTGGTGCAGTACTGATCTCAGCTCATCCCCTTCCTTATACTCGCCCTGTTTCTCCCCAGTTAAATCTCTTCAACTACCCACAGATATAGGACAACAGGGCAGTGTGACTCTGCCTCCTTCCTGTCACCTGCCACTCAATGACTGGCTTGTCAACAACCTCTGATATACAGCCTTTTCGTCCTCCGGCCCAATCCCACCACCCTGCTCCCATTCCCTCTGACCTTTTGGAGTTCAATCAGCCTCCCTGTCCCAGAATCTCCCACCCACCTATCCTACCCAAACATGGCCTAGGGGCAGGGGCAACACATTACAGCCCTGGACCAAATCTTTATAAATAAAGCTTTACTGGAACACAGCCACACCCATTCCTCGATGAACTGCCTACAGCCACTTTCATGCTGCAATGGCAGAGCCAGCAGTTGCCACAGAGGCCGTACAGCCTGCAAACCCCATGTGCTAACTAGTCCTCTACAGGTTTGTTGACCCCAGTCCTGGACATGGTTCAGACGAACAGTTGTTAAGCTCAAAGCTTTGCTGGCCCTCCTTTCCTAGAGAGGTGAAATTAAGCCAGCACGACTAGACAGGGCCCCTTCTACCCTAAATGCTCACCTTACGCACCCCCCCCACACACACACTCAAGTCCCCAGCTCAGAGAGCCCTCTTTTCTTTAGACTGAGTTGCTCTTCCTCCTCCCCCAACAAGTGTCACAACACTCAACGCATTTGGCCTCATGTCCAGCCACCCGGTGACACTCAAGTCTCTACTGCATCTTAAGCCCTATCCTGCTGCTTTCTCTGAGGACTGGCCAAGGGCCTGCTGGAAGAGGTGACACATCAACATGGTGTGCCATGTGAGCTCTGGTGCTCATCTCTCCACACCACACGCTTTGTCTTCCTCCCTCCTCAGTCTCGAGCCGTAGGCAAGACAAGACCTATCTGTGACAAGTTTACTCCCTCTAGTGGGATAGAGAAAGAGGATGTACTTGTCCAAAACTGTCAAACCAGGCCTGTCCTCCACAGGGAGGTTCCACTCGTACCTGTGGTGGGCGGGGTTGGCTTTCTGCATACCAGAGTCTTCTCTACATTTTTCCCCACAACACGAAGTCTCCTCCTCCCTTCTCTCAGTAGAAGGGAAGCCAGCTGAGTGGGGCACACAGCTAAGAGCAAGCAATTTTAATACACACAGACACGGAAGGGGGGGCAGTGTGCAAAACTCAAAGGTCAGGCCAGACTCACCAGAGGAAAAGAGATAAGCTCATCTGAATTCATAACACTCAGCTCCTTCTTGGAGATGGGGAAGCTTGGAGGCAGGAAATACCGTAAGCAATTCCTAAGAAAGAAAGAAAGTAGGTGGGGACAGAGCTCAGAATGACAGGGAAAGGGAGGAGAACTGTGATCAGCCCAAAGCAGGAAGACAAGATGACAAAGGAGACGCGTACCGGAGAATCTGGACCAGCAGGTCAATGGTCTCATGACTGGTGCTCGGGGCAGTGGTGTCGGGCTCAATGCGGATGCAATCAGAGGTAGAGGACTCCGTCACAGACACAGGCTGCTCCATCACCACGGCCTCCTCTTCCTCCCCACCCTCTTGCTGTGTGTCGGGGCTTTGATACTCTGGAGAAGGTGGCTTCATCAGTCGCACATCTTCACTGCCTTTCTCCACCCTATGGGGAACACACCTTGTGTCAGACTGTCCTGGGCTCCTAGAATAGGCTGCAGGGAGGGGGACCCAGGACACTTTCCCCACTGCCCTAGCTGACCCCTATCATTCTGGCCTCCCAGAAAGGAGCATTACCAGCGATCTCTTGGTGTTGTGTCCGTGGGCACGTAGTCAAACTTCACCTTCCACCGCACCACATTCTTGCCTACCTCCACAGCTGTGACTCGGCCGGTATACCATTCCCTGTTCACACGTACCTCCACATGCAGCCCTTTATCTGACAATTCAGAAGTGAGAACCAGAAAACTAGGTCAGCACTCCTACTTAGTCAGGCCTGCCTTGCCTTGGACAACAGGAGCCCTAGATGCTGGCCCCACTACACAAGATACCCAGAGTCCAGCCATTCTAGTCTCCATCTGTCACGAAGGTGCTGAAAAGCATGACAATGAGTGAACACCAAAGAGTTAGTGTTAAAAATAATCACAAGCCGGGCATGGTGTAATCCCAGCACTCAGAAGGCTGCGCAAGAGAACAGGGAGTGCAAAGATATTAAGTTCAAGACCAGCCTAGACTACACAGTGAGATCCTGTCTCAAGACGGTAATTAATACCACATGTGCACACAGACAGACACAAAGCAGGGCTGGAATAGGACTCAGTGGTAGAGCAAGGCCCTGAGTTCAATCCCCAGCACTAAAACCACAAAGGGCTGTGATCCTCAGAATTCTGCTTGGGATTAGACTTGGGTCAACTGCTGCACAAAGCCCAGGCCCCACCCTTTGAGAGGAGACTGGTCAGCAAAGGCTCCGCTTCTATCTCCACCACAGCTGCTAGGGACCTCCCCACACTCACCTTGCTGAACTCTTTTGAGGTCAGCTGGGTCCTCTTCCCCAGCGCTGTCTGAGAGCTGCAAGGAAAACAGTCTAGTTACACACATCCCCAGTGCCCTGTTTAGAGCAAAAGTCATCAGCTGTCACCCTCATGTCTTAGGCTACAGTTTAAGTCACTCTCTAAAGTCATGATCCCAGGTATCTGCCCTTCTGCCACCTTTACAAACAGAATGTCACAAACATGGGAAAGCATTAATTCCAGCCCTCCAGGTGTGCATCCTCTAACTTCAGGCCTGTATTTAGAGCCAGTCTCAGTCAAAACGTATATGACACTGCATTTCTAGTGACCCAGAGTCCCTGAGAGGTCACCTAGGCTTGTGGAAGGCTCAAGTCAAGAACACAACAGGAACTGGTGCAGACTGTGGGGGGTGCGGGGCACAGGCCGCAGGAAGGGAGGCTCTAGAACCTCACCTCACCTACCCACCTCATTTGAGTCCTTCTTTTCCTCCTTCACAGCAAACTTGCCCCGCTTGCATTTCTCCTTCCTCCTCTCAGCCTCTTCCTCAGCTTCGTCCTCATCAGAGACCACAAGACTCCGCTTACGACCAGGGTTAGCCTACAGCAGGAACAGAGTGGGCACGTGAAGACCACCCAGCCCTGAAGGAGCAGGAAGGTCTCACATGGCTACAGCAGCTATTCTGAGAAGGGCTCATGCTCCCCTTGGTCCCTGCTTTCCATTATTCTACACACATGTAAGCAACCCTCTCGGCCCTTGAGCTGTGAGGTCCTTTGCTCAAAGTTGCCAGAGCAGAAACTTCTCAGTTCACTACCTGCTTAGCCTGCCTGGCCAGCCAGCTATGACCTCCCTGACACACAGATCACTACCACAGGCCACCAAAGTCATCTGTCCCCAAATCACCGACCTGTACCGAACTGTAAGAAGCCAGTGCGGATGACTCAAATTTGTGGCAGACCAAAGTTCGGTGACGCAGTGAAGAGCTCCCTGAATCAGGAGCCAACTGACTCTGTCCCAGAGTTAAGTCCCTTCAGTCCCTTCAGCTATCAACTCCTACCCCACACACACACACACTCAGGGGCAACAGAAAAGGTCCCCCAGTGCAGCTCCGACACAGCGCACTGGGCACATCCCTAAGGCGATGGGCCCAGACACACACACGCACACACATATGCACGCACAGGCACGCACGGCATCTCACCGGGGACAGTTTAACAGGTGGCTCTGGCTTCTTGACCACTGGAGTCTTGATGGCTTTCGGGGAAGAAACTTCCCGAGGGTTCTTGGAGTTGGGCAGTGGAGATGGTGACAGTGTCTGCACCAGAGGGGCAGGCCGGGATACAGTCTTGACTGGAGGGTTTGCAGGCTTTCGGGGTGGCTCAGGTGGCTGGAGCAGCCTGGAGGTACTGGCCTCCACCCGGGATGCCAGAGCAAGAGGCTTTGGGGTGCTGATGATAGGAGCCTTTCGGGGTTGGCTGGTTGATCTCAGAGTTTGCAGGGAAGGGGGTCTGCTTGGAGCATTCTTGATCACAGCAGGTAAAGGAGGTGACCGAGGACGCTGAGGTCTCCGCACAGGTTCCTAAAGACAAAACCATGAGAAATGAGAACAGGGATCCAACACAACACACTGCAGAAGGAGCTCCTCACCCCGCCCCAACCTGTGTCACTGGGCTTCACCTCAGTGGAAGGTCTGGTGGTCACTTCCAATGGCAACTTCTTCAGGTCGGCCTGAGAGCGGATGGGTGTGGTTTTCTGCAAGGCAGACGTGGTGACTGATGAAGCTGTCTGTCTATCTCGGTATACACAGTGAACCCTTCAGACCCTCACTATGTGTCCAGAACAGCGGGAAAATAAAACCACTCCTGTTCTCACTGAGGAGACGAAAACTACACAAACACTGAACCACCAGAAGGCCAGAGGACACTCTGTGATTCATCTGGCAACAGAGACTGGGAAAGCATCACTGGGCTAAATTTCTGAAAAAGGAGCCAGAACAAGTGGGAAAGACTGGTGGGATTCAGCAGACAGAGGGCATACATAAGACATTTCAAGTTACAACACTGTACAGACACAGAAGTCAGAAAGAAAAATGCTTTTGTAATAAATATGAAATCATAAACATACCTAAAAAATGTACAAAGAAAGAAAAAAGTAGAAATTTAAGAATTAGCAATTCCAAAAGTGGACATAGGAGGAAACTGTCTGATCTTTATGTCCCCCGAGCATTATTGGGTTTTGAACTCGGCCTTGAACTTGCTAGGCAAGCACTCTACTGCTTGAGCTATGCCCCTCACAAATTTGTCCAATCTTAAAAATGTAAAAGAAACTGCATATCTTTGCTGATAAAAACAGAAACTAATACATCTTCTGGAGGACAATTTGAGAAGTTATGTAAACAAAACAAACCACACAGAATTCTGAGATTTTTTTTTTTTAAATCTCACTTCTAGAAAACTGTCATGATTACTGAGCAGTAAAAACTGTGTGTGTGTACATGTGTATATATAAAATGCATGTACCACATAAAAAGCTAGAAGGATATTTAGATATGGTGGTTACTTCTAAGACAGTTATTTTCTGGAGTTGATACATTCTAAATAAATTGGACCACTTTGGAGTAATAAACAGAATTGTTTACTATTTGAAAGAATAAGCAAAGCATACTTGAAAAAGAGTCTGGACCTGGAGCCTGGGGAGGGAAAGCCTTGGCCAGCACATGTGGTGTGAGTGGAGAGAACAGAAGAGCCACTGAAGGCTCCATCCCTGGTTTCTAACACAAGATGGCTGCCCACTGCCCCTACCCAAGCACCTGAAGGGCCTCCAGCTTCTCCTGCTGCTGGCGAATTTTCTCTGTCAGTTGCTTCTGCTTCTCTTCCTGTGTCTTCAGGTCCTTTTTGAATGTCCCCAGGGGAACCTTCTGCTTCTGTTCAGAAGCCTCACACCTGTAAAGAGAGAAGCAGGGTTCCAGCAGTACAGGGACCTCCCTCCTCAGCCAACCCGGCCGTGGAACTGGCAGACACTGCAGGACACACACCTACTCCTCCTCCTTGAACACTTACTATGAGCAACAAGCCAGAGACATAGACAAGCTGACTTGAACACTGAGTTTCTCTAAGGGTGGGGGAAGACTGGGAGTGCTTGAGTGTGGAGGTGAGTACACACAATCCCCAGTTACAGTGCGCTCACCTGTCCTGCTCAGGATCAGGGTTCATGGAGCAAACCCAGGTGTCAGGGTAATCTTTTTCCACCGAACTCAGCTGGAAGGGGAGGGTCCTCCACTTCAGACACAAATCTGCAGCACAGAGAATACCCACATGTGTCAGCCGTATCCACGAGCAATTCTGGAATCCAGGCTCCTTACAACCAGACCCACAGCTAATATGCCCTAGGCTTTCCATGCAAAGATCTTTCCTCTGGCTCCAACTCTGCCTGTACTTATGGAACAGTAAATCATGGGACAGTGATTCCTGCAACGATGATGACTTAGTATCTTGAAGTCCTTTTTTTTTTTTCTTTAAATGTACTGGAGATCAAACCCAGGGCCTCGCAAATGCTAAGCAAGCACTCTACCACTGAGCTACATCCCCAGCCCAATATCCTGGGCTTGTAATGCCCCCAACCCCTTTCCCATCTGCAGTGGGATCCTGGCTCAGTCATCCACTCACACTAGAAACAACACTGAACCTGGCCCAGCTATAGCACAGGAGGCCAGTTATCTTCTGCCTCATTCACAAGGGACAGAAGAACTTAACCAGCTTCAAGAATACACAGAGGGTCATCACCAAACACTCATAGCTCCAGTGCGACTCAAGCCCATGACTGTCAGTCAAGTCAGGAGGACAACACTGGGACAGAGAGAAGGCCATGGACAATGACGGAAAGAAGCAAGGAAGAGGCTGCAGCCATCCAACTCACCACACTGGATGGTGGTCGGAATCTCCATGGCTCTCCGGCGTTTGAAACGCAGCTCGCTGGATGGGGGCTGGTTCCAATTGGCAGAGAGGTAGCCAAACTCATCCCAGAACTTGATGATCCCACGCTGGGCTGGAAGGCAAGCACACGCATCTCATAGGAGCCAGCCCTGTCCTCTTCCTCTCCAGCTACAAGAGCATCTCAAAGCCGGAGCTAAAGACAAGGGCAGCAGCCCAAGAGGACCAGCCCCTTACCAATGGCAATGTCCTTCCAGTACTGAGCCAGGTGCTCCCCCATTGCCCGCAGCAGGTGCCGGTACTCCTTGGCATCAGCAAAGTCCTGCTTGTTGTGGGTGGGCTCCAAGACCAGGTAGGGCACATCGACGACCCCAACCACCCCACCACACGCCCTGCAAGGAAAAAGGGGTCAGCTCTGTTCCCTCATGAAGCAAAACCTCCCTGCCACCACGCTGGCTGGACAGCTCCCGTGGGCAGCACTCACATGCCGCCTTCGAGCTGTGGGCCCACCTTCTCGTACATCTTGATCAGGCGGCTACAGTTGTAAATGAACATACCGTCCAGGTCCCGCTGCTCGATGTTGACCCCGAAAACAAAATTTAGCTCCTTAGGTTCTTTCAGTGCTCTAAGAAATACAAAAAACTTCAGACAGACCCGATGAACACTCCAACACCACGGTGATAAAGATGACTGAGCTGAAACTCGAGAAATGCTAGGCAATGCGCCGTGCGCCTCCGCTTAACCTGTGATGGCAGACCTGACAGGGACCTGCACTGCGCAGATGCTAAGCTTCCCTAATGGAAACCACAACTTTGGGTTTTGGTAACAAAACAAATGTATTTCAGTATCATGGGTGACCGTGAAGCACCACCAATCTTTGCAAAGACAGTGACATGGTGGGACAAATACAAGGGATCTTCATACTTTCCTCAGCACTCACTAACATGACAGCAAATTAATCTTTTTTTGAGATAGGGCTGGCCTCGTACTCACCATCGTCCTGCCTCAGCCTCCCAAGTGCTGGCAAGACGGGCACAAATGTCACCCAAGCTTGTACTTTCTTTCTTTCCGTTCTCTCCCTCCCTCCCTCCCTCCCTCCCTCCGCTCCTGTGGTGCTAGGGTCTGAACGCAGGGCTTCAAGTCAGGCAGGCACTCTACCACTTGAGTCCTACCTCCAGCCCTTGTAAATTATTTTTGAAAGACAAAAATTCACAAGAACATGTAAGAGAAGACACTGCCATGTGATTAATGTCGTCAAAGTCTTGAACTCCAAAAAGCAGATGGGTACCACTGAAATGAGTGCAAATGAAATACCCTGAAACCTCCACCTGCGGTAAGGAGACCAGTGGGAAGCAGTCAGGACCCATGCCTCACAGCCGAGGGGCTCCACATGGAGCTGAGGCCAGGGTCAAAGAGGTATTTTAGTGACCTAGGACGAGTACACATTCTAAATGAAAAAGGCTACAAAAGTGAGACTTTAGGACTAGAGGCATGACTCAAGCAGTAGAGCACCTACCTCCCTGCCAACTGAGCACAAAGTCTCAAGTTCAAACCCCAGTAACACCAGAAAAAAAAAAAAAAGTCATCCTATAGCATTATTCCACAATTGGAGCCAGCAAGGATGATGAATACACGTGTGTGTAAACGTTAAGAGCAGGTGTTTCTAGGTGGTAGGAGTGTAAGGGAGATTGGCGTTCTCCTTTCTTAAATGTTTTGTACTTTCCACGTTTTATACAATGAGCATTCTGTACAACTTTAAAAGAAAAGGTTAAGAAGGAAGGAGTGAGACAGCACAGGTGAGGGCAGTTTTGATTTCCACGTGTCGGTTCTGTCCTGCCTTCTGCAGGCTCAGGAAAGGACGCAGAGCTCGGGGGAAGGCCTCTGCCCTGCAGGGACATGTAACAAGCATTTGGAATCACAACACTAATGGCTTTCTCACAATCCACTTGCTGTCCAAATGGGAACCTGTCAATCAGTACGAAGTCACAGAATTCGAGAAGACCACAGGACGGCCCCAGCACTCACCGCTGTTTGGCCTCCTTAATTCTCTTCTTGACATCAGCTTCTCTGCGCAGGGTTATGGCTGTGTTCTGGACCTGCCGCAGCATCACCTGGACACGTACAGCAGCACAGGTGAGGGAGGTGCTCCATGCCAAGTGATGTTATGGCACTGCACCTAAAACACCTCACTTGGACTCACTTTGACTGACTTCTTTCTGCAGAAAATGGGCCAGACCAGGGCCACACCTAAAAGCTGTACTGGCCAGCTCACAGGACACGGGCTCCTTAGCTGGAAGTGCTAGAAGACAGAGCGTGGCTGTGGCCTTACTTACCCTGGAGTCCCGCGTGAGGTCTCCACCGAGGCGTACTTCTAATGTCCGAGCTTTGCTCTCTGCCTCCCGCGCCTTCTCTTCAGCTGAAACCCAGAAGCAACCATGATAAAGAATTCAAAGGTTCTTGGCTGGCGAAGTAGCTCAAGTGGTAGAGTGCCTGCCTAGCAAGTGTAAGGGCCTGAGTTCAAACCCCAGTACCACCAAAAAAAAAAAAATTCAAAGATTCAAAACCGTCATCCCTGCTGCACAAGAAGCGTTTCCAACAGTGAGGAATGCAGAAGCTGAGAGAACGATGGCTGAGTACCTGGGAGCAGCCTCCCAGCCTGGGTTGTAGCGTTGCTTCACAACAGAAGATCTGGCACTCTAAATAATCATGAAATGCTAGTGCATGTCTGCAATCCCAGCACTCAGGAAGTTAAGGCAGGTCAACTGAGGGCTCAAGACCAGCCTGAGCTACACTGTAAGACCCTGCCTCAAAAAAAGAAAAAAATTGAGATCCCAAGGAAAATAGTGCCTATTTATACCTAAGGCATGCCTTTCAAACCACAAATAAGTGAGAACAGGTCAAAAAATACCCAAGGCCATGGAAGTTTGGGCGGGAAGCCCATCAGGCAGCTGAGAACCTCTGGTCAGCCCTAGTCAGACTTGGGGGAGAGGCCTTGGTATTTCTGCCCCGGAGTCAGGAAAACCAATTTCACAAGTATTTGGGCCAGAAGACAGTGTGGGTTTCTTCTTCACCTTAGGTAAGCCACAGTTGACACTGTTCCATTTGGTGGAAGGAAAGAAAGTCTGGAGAGAGAAGTGATGAAGGGGTAGGATGTGAAGAGAGCTGGAGCAGAACCTAGTCTGTGCTGAGGAGAATAGCGGCGTCCCTGGCTGGTCCCCCAGGTGACCACCCCCCCATGTCCACCCTACACAGGGAAGGGCATTACCAATCCGTGCAACATGCTCTGCTTTCTTCACCTCCTGCTCTGCACGGGTCTTGAAACGGCTTGAAGTGTATTTGTACATCCTGAACAGTGGAAAAAGCAACCTGAGGGCTGCACAGCAGCAGGGCAGATAGCCACCTCGGGCATTCCTCCCAAACTATGCCTCCCTGGCCTCTTGTGATGAAACAGATCCCAGTTCACGTGTCTTTGGTATTCACTAGGAGGTTGCTAATCTTAGTAACAAATCTTAGGCCCTTTGCTTTGCTGTGTAGTGTCTAAAGGTCTCTTGCCCTGAAGGGACACTCAAGGCAGCTCCCTATGCTACCCTCCACACCTCAGAAGCCAATACACTCAACAGCCTTTGCCAGCCAACCTCCACAGTCTATCAGTCACCTCCATCACTCCTCAGGACCAGGAAGTGACTGGTAAATCACAGGCAGCTTAAAGGCATCAGAGCCTCTCAGTGCAGCAGACCACACCCCAGGGAACACACAACCAGGGCCCGTCCTCAGCCCAGGCCAGGGTGGGTGCACCCCTACCTGGGCTTGTACAGGCAGCAGGAGAGCCTCTTGGTCTGAACCTTGTGCCCATGGATAAAGATCCTCATCCGGGGATCAATGTAGAGCACGGCAGCATAAGCGCGGAACGAGCGCCTCTCTGGCTTCCTGGAGCAGCAGGAAGAAAAGTGCTGTCACTAGCCCATGACGGGCACAGACAAATCCAACCAAGACCATCACAGCCTCTCTGCAGGCCCTCCACCTCTCCACCTCACATCCTGGCTTCTCTTATTGCCCTGACAGGGTGCTCCCTCAGCATGAGCACTGTTATCTCATCCTGACATGTCCCCAGCATAGGTGCCCCAGAGACACCTCGTCTGGCCTATCAGGCCAGGGACCACAACCCTATCAGGGACCCCTGAGCAATGCTCTCCCCCGCAGGCCTCAGTTTCTTCTTCTGTCAAATCGTGGAGCTGGAACAGGAACATGTTAGTCTTTCCCTTGTCTTAGTTGAGGAGCTATCACCCTATTACTCATCCTGATTCATCCTGCTGTCTGTGCAAGCAGGTGTGCAGCTTTCAGCTCCATCAAGGCTGGTGCTGCCCTAAGAGATCCAGGAAGGCGCTCTCCCCACTTTGTCTTCAGTCACCTCCTGAGAAAACAAGAACCGTGGCACCCTTGCCAGCCCCACTCACGTGCCCTCGGGGGAGGTCTCCGCCATCTGGATGTCCTTGGGATTTGACATCACATCTAGCTCGGGCTCTCCATTGTCCATGAGCTTCAGATTAAAGATGATCACCAGCGTTCCTAGAGGGCAGAATCTTGTCGTTCTGCCAGCCAAGCGTGGGTCACCCCATCCCTCGTGGTCCCAGAGCTCCCAGACTGCCGGGGCACGGGCTCGAAGCCTCTTACCGCTGTCCCCAGGAATCCTCATGAACTGAGTCATCACCTCCTCCTCGGTGCGGAAGGGAGAGTATTTGTACACGAGCTCCGTCTCGATGGCGAACTTCTCCACGTTGTCTGTGATGGGCTCCCGGGTCCGGGCATTCCACGTGGGCAGTGGGACTATCACCTGTGGAGTAAGCACAGGTGGCCACTGAGAGCAAGGATCCGGAACAGCCTTCCCCCAACATGGGCAGCTGTCGGATCCCTCCCTGGTGACTCCATACTGCCCAAGTTGAGGCCTAAGCGCCACAGGCTAGCACCAGAGGTTCTGTGGCTTTTGCCCCTTCTGAAACTTGTACTCATACTACTGTGTTGGTTGATGACTGTGAGATTTCTGCATGGGCAGTTCCCCACTTGGGATGTCCCCAACCATTTTCTTAATTTGGTAAAAATTCTACTCTTACCACCGGAGAAAACATTTACAGTTAGTGAATCTGAAGGTACACATAACATAACCTACAACTCCGCAACTGCCCCCTGTGTAAATACCCTAAGAAAAACTGTCATACATATGCACACCGGTAAACACAAACAGGAACAACCCAGATATTCACTATCAAGAGGCCTCAGGTAACATGGCGTCATTAATGCAAAAGAGTACTTCATGCAATGATGAGCAGGACTAAGTGACCAACACAGATGAACCTCTGAAATACTGTTGTAAGAAGATACAAATAGTCCATTTATAAAATAGTAAACTGAAAACTAAACTACTATTTAGAGATGCATATGTAGGTGACAGCTATAGAACAAAAGGAAAAGGTCAGCCCAGAAATCCCCTGGAAGAAGTTGCTTCAGAAGCACAAGAGGAATAGGAATGGGTAGAGGCTCACAGGGGACGTAACACTGGTTTGTCACGGCAGCCACATAGATGTCTGCTTTAAATAATGTTATGAAAAATCCTACTCTTTCTTCAAAAACCCTGCTCCAAACACTGCCTTCCCTGCTGGTGCCCCTCCCGACTCTGAGGCAGTGCCGGCGCAGAGTCCAGCAGAGGGCTGGTTGAAGGGAGTCTCTCTGTACAGCACACCCATTGAGGCACCTCCAGGGTTCAAACCAGACCCACCCTTAGGACAAAGGGACTCTTCACCAGCACTGGGGTGACACACTGCTCTGAGACACTGCCGGTTTCTAAGAAGCGTCCTGTTAAAAGCATTCACCCGCAGGCTGGTTTGGACACATTCCTCCTCGGAATTTTGAAATCTTGGCTGAGTTCACAGTAGAGTACAATCCAAAATAGGGACCTTCTAGCACCAAGTAAGGAAAAATTTCAACCTAGCTTTTCCACTGAGGGCACCGAGTTCCATCTGCGCTCTGTGAGCTTGCACCTTCATTCTACCTCCCATTCTCTACAGCAGTCCCAGACGACAACGCATCACTTTAAACTGTGGGTACTCCCTTCCACTGTCCCCTAACACTGGCTGCTTCTCCTCAGCTTCAATGTCACCACTCTCCTGTTTCCTCCTACCTTTCTGGTCACCCCTCAGCATCCTTTGTTACTTCCTCCCCCAGACCTTTTGATACCGGCCTACCTAGGTCCCTGGGCCCATTTCTCATTCTACTCTCTCCTTTAGGTGAGCTCACCTGCTAGCGAACTCCAGACACAGACTTCTCTTTGCATGGCTGAAACAAATTCATACTGTCCCCCTCCAGACTAACCCACTTCCATTCTTCCCCAGCTTCAGATAGTCCACCATTCCTAACTGCCACACCAGAACCTTTGAGTCACCCACAACCTCTCCTCTCCCACTCCAACGATCATCTATGGGTTCTCTCACCCTAAAAAGATGCCGACTCCATCTATTTCTCTCACCTCCCTGCTGCGATTCCCACCAGGCTACCACAGCCAGGGCCTCTCAGCCAATCAGCTCCCACATTCACCCCAATCCTTCTAATCCAATCACCACACAGCAACCACACAAACCTTTGTAAAGAGAATCTGATAGTAGCACACTCCTGCTTAATGAAATCCTACTTACTCAACAAGGCCCTGAGGTCAAGCCCAACCCAGCCCTCCCTGCTCTCCAGAGGCCACCACCAGCAGCACCCTAACCTGCCCTCAGAGCCTTGAGTACCGGAACAGTCCTTCCCCCGGAAGCATTACTCCAGATGCCAGCCCAGCTATGTCTTCCTGGCCTACCTCCACCTGGAATCCTTTCTGTAGCTGCAACACATCTCACTCCAAGTGTGTCAAGGTGACATCCTGAACCAAAAAGGTAAATGAACCCTGTGGCTTGCTAAGTAAAGAGGGTCAGAAAAGACAGGCTGCCATTTCCAACGTGAACAACTTTGGCATAATTTTAGATCTAACAGAGCCAGTACAAATACAATCACAGATAACCAACGAAACGGAGTAAGACTAACATCCTGAATTCCACCATCTGCTATCTAACAATGGAGGACTGGTTTCTACAGAACCTTTCAGGTCCCTCTCTCAAGCTCGGGCCTCCATTACTTACACATGAAATAAGCGTCCAGCCTTGGGCTGGACAGCGCTCTCCTACTCCCCCAACAAGAAACAGTTCTGCAGACATGTAAGCCACCAGGCCCCAAAGAGAATCAACGGAGTATACATTTACATTACACAGTTAGTGAACAAGATGCTTTTGAGTGAGAATGCCCTGGATGTAGCCTTTCTTCAGCACAGCAGTAATCTTTGGCGCTACGTATGTAGCAGCCACTCCCAAATGAGTCTAAGTGGCAGCTGCCAGGAACAATGAGCCCACGCTGATGTTTTCCACTCGCTTATCTGCTTCACTACCTGCCTGGGCCCTGGAGGTGTTGGATTCGTGGCTTCTAATACAGGCAGTTAGAACAACCCAACTCCTCAAAAGGAAAAGGTACCTTCATATGGGAAAGACGCCACCGTTCTATTATTACTGCCAGGTATGAGCTCCACTCAGTCAGGGAAGCCCAAATCCTCCCCCGATAACACAGCCACCCCCTATAGATGAGGCGATCTGGAGGCTCATGCAGGTCTGGAGGAGCTACAAATCCAACTCTTGGTTCCTGCCACCGATGAGTTCACTCTCAGAAACAGAAGAGCCGGTGTCTAAAGTGTGTTGAGATTTCACTTCCTGTCACGTTAAGCTATCATCTCCCTTACTCTCCACTCCCTAACCCCCACCTCAGGCAATTCATTCACTCAGATAAACCCGTAACGGTGGGCATGCGCTCCAATACTGAAACCCCACAGAGCCCGCCCAGCACTACAGAGAGCCTGGGCAGACCCAGGAAATGCCAAGTGGCCATAGAGGCCACAAGGATGTGACCTACTTCATCAATGCCTTCTTCCTCGTGAAAGGTGCGAGACAGGAAAAGGCAGGTCATGGTGTCTTCCTTCTTGGTAAAGAGGATAAAATCTTTCCCAATGCGCATCGAGCCCCTGAAAAGAACGCAGAAAACAGGTTATTCTCCCAGGGACAGAGCTCATCTAAACAAGGAGTGACCCCCCCACCTGGGAATGTGACTCGAACTGCCTCTGGAGGGCTGCCCCCAAGTCTCCCTATGACCCTGGCCCTGAGCCCTGTTCCACAGCCTTTGCTCCTCCTCCACTCAGCCAGCACTCCTTGCTTTTCTGCTGGCTTGTGATTCCTTGGTCTTTACCTACAACCTTCTCGACCACATTTACCCTCCATAAAGAGCTCTCTCGCCATCCTTCCAGGGCGTGGTCACCACTGGGTCAGGCCACAAGCCCCAGGTCACTCTCACTTCTGCCTTTTGCCACAAGGCTAGTAAGTAACCCTGTCGACCTTGAGTTCAGGGTTCGTCCCAGCCACAGGAGGGCCACTGTGCTCTCTGACTGTTCCATCAGATTCCATTTCAGAAGGTGACACTTTCATCTCCCTATATGGGCCACACCCAGTTCCCATCCTGTCCCTCCTTCACTGACACAAAAACAACTCCCTTCCTGTCCACTCGACAAACCAAGGGAACCCAACACCTATGCTCACAGTCCTCCAAATCCAGTGTGAGCCCAAAGCTCACACACAGGAGCTCAAGAGCATAGAATTCTTGACCCTGATGTTCAAAGAGGCCTGCAACCGGCTCGTTCCGTCTCTAAACTGCTTGGCCACCTTGGGCTCATTCTGACAAGGGCAGGTCCTCACTTTTGGATGCAGTTTCTGGAAACCGAGCCTTGAGGATGACTTCCACAAGGTAAAAAAGTCTGATGAAATTGACGGATTTCCTACTACCTGGCCATGTTAATCCTTTGGAGTTGCAGGCAGGGACAGGCCTTTCCAGGCAGCACGGAGCAGGCAGAAGCAAGAAGCGCAAGTGGGAGGACTGCCCACTCAGCAGTGAAGCTGGTTAACTCCTTTCTTCTGACAGCTCCTGGGGCTTTATGGCTATTATCTCATTAAGTCCTCGTGACACCCCAGGGGACGACAGAGGTAGGAGGCCTCATTACTCTCCTCCATGTACAAACACCAATCAGACTGGGGTGCCAAGCACGCAAATCAATGTCATGCCCCATTTCCCTGAACACTCAGAAAAACTCCCAGGACACTCTCCAGAGATGCCTCGGGGGCTGCCAAGTCCTGTTTCTCCTCCTCCAGTACCAAGGTATTGGCAGGGCTCCTTTCCCTTCACAGCACTTCACAATACTTCTCTTTCCTCCCTAAAGATGTGAGCAGCAAAGTGAGGCACATCACCTGCTCTCCGACCAAGCTTGCCCTTGCTCTCATCTGGCAAAGGCTCCCTCTTCCTGCCTCTTTCTTCCCCCTGTCTTTGATCCTAACGATAGGGCCTGAATTGCAAGAACTCCCAAACACGACCTGCTGGCTTCCCCGATTCTCAGCCTATTCTCACCACAAATCACCAACTCCTGGTTCTCTTTTCCAACATCTGAACTGAGTTCAAAATGATTACAATGTCCTAACTGAACACTAGGTGGCTCCATTTGTTTTGTTTGTTTTTCTTTTCTTTTTCTGCTCTGTGGTACTGGGGATTGAACCCAAGGCCTGGAGCTCAAGCAGTCTACCACTCGAGACAGCTTGGTGGAAGCGAAGCGTCACAGAAGTCTCTTGAGTATGCTAATGGCAGCGCTCTAACTTCTACCCATGTTCCTTCCCAGCCTTCTAAGCACTTTCAGAGTCACGTTTCGCTTGCTCCTGAACCTCTCCTCTGGAAAGGAGAATGTCAGAGGTTTTCTGAACCTCATTTTCTAGATTAGGAAATAAACAATGAGAGAGGGGAAACTGAGCCCACAGAGCTGAGAGGACCAGATAGGCAGAGGCTAATCCACAATCCAGACAGGAAATCAGGTTTCCACTGACTCTAGGGAGACCACAGTTTTGGGAAACTTAGAACAGCTGTATCAGAGTTCACTGGGGGAGGTTCCCAGGTGGTTCATTTCACCTATCCAGACTCACTGAATCAGGCCAGGAGTCTGTCATGCAAAGATCTGAGGAGAAATGAAATTAAGGCAGAAATTGGGCAAGGGACTATCACACAATGACAGTGTTTAATCCTTAACTATTTGGTATGTAGTATATAACAAAAACAAATATAATACCAAATATAACTGCTGGTATACATATATATTGGTATATTTGTATATACAATATATTGATATCATAATACTATAATCCTTACTTGCAAAAGCTGCAGCTCACAGAAGTCATTAAGTGGCTACGGTGAGATTTGAACCTGACTTCGTCTAACTGAAGTACAATGGACAGGAGCTCCCATTTTGTAGTCAGAAAGACCTGGTTCATATCCTAGCTCTGCACAAAGACACCTTCACACCTCTGGGAAGTCGTGAACCCTGTAAACCTCAATTTCTTCCTCTGGAAATGGAAGCAATGGTACCTGCATAACAAGGGGTGACAGTAACGATGCTTGGAGATCGTCTGTACGAAGTTTCCAGCGTAGGGCCTGCACTCACTTTCCCATCTGTAAGTGCTTACATTACCATTTATCCCTGCCCTGAGCCAGAAACCACAGAGTCCAAGAGCCAGGTCCCTGCTTTCTTTGGAGGCATTCTTTCTTCTCCATACCCAAAGCACACTGCACATGAGGCCTAACCAAGGCTGTTGACAGATAAAACCACCACCCTCTCTCAACAAAACAACACGTTTCCACAGCAAGACTGGAAACGTGACTCAGAACTCTATTAGCACAAACTCCAGCTCAACTAAATCTTATTCCATCCAAAGGTATGTACAGCTGGAAGTAAGCGTTTCAGAAATAGAAACCTTTCTCTTGGGGCTTCACTCAAAACCAGAACAACACATTCCAAATGCTAAACAAGTGGGAACCAAGAGCTGAGAGAGCGGTCCCAGGAGATCTGAGGACACGAGGTGTCCTGCTATAGGGGCCTGAAGTCCTCCAGAAGGAACTGTCTCACTCACTCTGGATCCCTGGTGCCTGGCACAAAGCATGACATGCATTGCGGTAGGTCCGAAGGAACTCTGCAACACTGCGAGGTAAGCCCTTCACCATCTTAGACACATCCCCACCTCATAAAGAGAACCACTCACATCCTCAATCACAGGTAAACGTAATTTTCAAAAGGAGAGGCACAGTTCTAAAGCACAATGCCAAGAGAAACTGTGGCAGCTTCTCCCCACCAGCTTGTTTTGGACACTCACACTTTTCAATCTGTAGCACAAACTCTGCTGGATGACAACTGAATTACCCACAGATCACTACTCCTTCCTGTCTCTGACTCTCTACTGTTTCAGAATTCCAGTCACCGAGGGACAAAGGGGAGGACAGAGGAGAGCATCACGTGATTTCTGCATTGAGCCCTGGGACAGGCTTCCAGTATACCTACGATTTTAACCCATTCCCGTACTGCCCGATCTGGGTGGACTCAGGTGTTCGTTTGGCTGACTTCCCAAACTGGATCACACTGGCAGCATCACCTGAAGTGGCAGACACAAGTGAAGTTAGCATTTCTCTTACAGGATCCTCACAGTCAAAGGTCTGAGCTTTGTTCAATCCAAGACTGGCTGTGTGTGCGCTGAAACTTCTCCCAAGGAAATTTTCACCGTGAGGTGAATGGAGTACCATCCCTGTGCCCTGTGTTCTGATACCAGGACGTGGTATGCAGGCTGAGGGAGGCCTCGTAGCTCTGGCTTTGGAATGTTGTGCAAGCTGATACATACAATGTCAGGAGACAGGTGATCTAACTAACTTCAGGTTGCCTACTCGGATCACATCTCTCATGTTAGGGCAAGACCCAGCAGACACATGGTGGAAGTAAGCCCAAGATATTGCAACAGGCTTCTCACTCCCCAGATGGATCTTTTAGTCACCATAGCAAGGCCACAGAAAAACAAGTTTAATAGTAAGTGTTTTGTAAAAATGGTTTCATCTTTGTCACTTACTCGGATCCATTCCTGCTCCATCATCCAAAAAGCAAAGCATAAATCCTCCTCGCAGATCCTCTCGCCTCTCTATAAAAGAAGCAGCTGCCGTTACTGGGCTGTTGCCCACACAGGTGGACAGCTTGGGCATGAACAGAAGGTGGAACAATATGAAGCTTGGCACAGAAGGGCCAGGTCAAAGCCAGCTTCTTCTAACAGAGCTAGAGAGCGTGAACTGAATTTCACGGCCCTCAAGGGCACAAATCCCACCAAAGACTTTCCAGTGCGTTCTAGTTCATGGCAAATCTTGAGAGTCTAGGAGGTCCAGCTTCTAACCACACTTGAGACCACTGAGTATGCATGCATTTCACACATAACCTCAACCAACCTCTCCACCCTACGAGGATGACAAGCATGTCAGCCACCACCATAGACACCAAGTCGTTTAAGCACTCCATTACACACTGAACCTTATCAACGCTGCTCAAACTCACTGGGTACTACTCTTTCCATTGTGAGTTAAGTCTTCAGACAATACTGAAGCTGGATGTGGTATGGGCACAGTGGAAGCAAATGCCATCTAAGAGCTAAGTTACTGTGTCTGTATGTGACCATCCCAATGCAGCAGGGGAAGGGGGCACATTTATAATCACAGGCCCTGCTACCTGTCCTGGGTCCTGGGAAGACAGTGAGATGACATAAGGTGCAATGAGAGTTGCCTGGTTCCCAGACAGACCAGACTGACTGAAAGGAAGAACAAGCCTGGCTGTGGCAGGGCTTCCTGGCCAACAGGAAAGAGACACGACAAACAGTGGCTGCCATTCCTGTGGGTGTCAGTGGCTGTCTTCTGCAGCAACTTGTAGTAACCCAGAATAGTCTCGGTCCAGCATGTCATGGACAATGGGGAGAGATTCCCACGCAGGGAAGGATGCTATACTAGCTTCCAAGGTGCCTTTCAATTCCGTAACGAGGACTAGATGAGTAATGGAGGAGCCAATCTTGGAATGAGGGACATGAAGACATGAATAAGACGACGACGTGAGGCAGAATGGAGATACTAGTGGGAACCCACACAAGCTATGAAGAGAAAACTACCATCAGCCTCCCTAGGGCAGATCCTGTTCGTGGTCCACTGCTGGGCGCACGAATCAAAGGAGCACTTTTACTAAAAGGAAGGAGCCGTGGATCAGGTACTACAGGTACAAGCCCAAGGCAGCTTTGCAGCCTCACCCCTAGTGGAGGATTGTTTTAATCCCCCCACATGTGTACAATTACCTATGCTGGGAAACCTCAGCTTAAAATGCTCTCTGTCCTCTCCTCAGGCTAAAAATTCAAGTCAGCTGTCACTGTCCTCTGTTAAATAGACTATTAATGTGATTTAAACTGCTATTTCTAATGGGCTATAAACCATAGATATTTTCAAGTATCACTCGATGCTCAGGAAACTGAGCACTCATTACAAGTGCCTCTTGAGAGTTCAAGGTGAGGAAGTACTATTGGTAGGTAAGAATTTGTTTTCCTCTGGCTCATTAGAGTCTGGGGAGCTCAAATGAAATGTGTAAGCAGGGGCAAGTAGAAGAAAAGTGAAAAAGCATCCAAATTTCCAGCTGGAAGAAGCAAAGTGTCATATGGAGACTGGGGTCAGGCATAGAGCGTGGTGGCAGCAGTGTTGGAACTATAACCTGTAGTCATTCACTTTACGCTACGCCACCAAATGTGCGTAAAGACTCTACTTTGGGATCTGGAAATTGATCTGAGCCACGTGCATCTGAAAGTTCCCAAGATTACTAGCCTTCCTTGAACACTACTTAAGAAGTCACGTCCTAGATCCTTATGTTAGGACTTTAGATCGTTTCAGCACAATCATCACTTAAGAGGGGGTTAGTCTAGAGTCGGGCACTGAGGGCTCATACTTCTTAATCACAGCTACTTGGGAGACTGAGATCCGAGGATCACAGCTTGAGGCCAGCCTGGGCAAGTAGTTCTTAAGACCCCATCTCCAAAACCACCAGATCAAAATGGACTGGAGTTGTGGCTCAAGTAGTAGAGTGCCTGCTTTACAAGTGTAAAGCCCTAAACCCAAGCCCCAGTTCCCCTCCCCACCCAAAAAAATTTTCTGGCTCAAGCACTTTATTTCAAAGCTTCTTCATGTAGTTTACAAGGGTAAGAGATTATACGGTAAGGCCACATAGTGACTAAGTTTAAAAATGGCCAAGAGTGTCCAGATCCATGGTGACGTGTAGTAATGCCTCAAGGGCAGGAGAGACGAGGTATTTCAGCACTAACTTCAACTGTAAGCCAGCAGGGTCGTGTCTTTGTCTGGCTGTGATGAGTACAGAAATCATTCTTTATTTGAGGATGGCTGACTGAGCACCTCCCGTGTGCCTGGTCCTGTGATGGGGAGAGGGGCAGTGAACAACGCAGATGTGATCAGTAAAGTCTAATGGATTCGAGTCTCTGCCTGTCTGCTACTCTGCTGCAGATGAGGTAGGAGGTAGAAAACAAGAGGATTAAACTACAGGATGTTGGGAAAAGAACCTACAAGAGCAAAATCAGTGAGTGTACCAATCACCTGAAGAGCTTGGAAAATGCAGGCTCTAGGCTCCACCCTGAACAGTCTGAGAGCACAGGTCTGAAGTAGGGCGTGAGAATTTCCATTCCTCCCAGGTGATGCTGAGACCGCCCATGAAGGAACCATTCTGTGAGAAGCACTGATGTAGCACCAGTCAGGAGGATGAAGGCATTCCTGCTTAAATGATCTCCCCACCCAGACATTCCACTAGAGATTCACTCCTAACACAGGATTTCCTTTCACCAGTCAACCGAGTAGTACTTACAATCTCCAAAGAAAAGACTGGGTGGGACAAATGAAGGGAGATTTTGGATGGGGAAGTCTAAATAGTGGAGGTTGAGCGCTCCACTTTCCGCCCTACACCTTGGAAGAGACAGGGGCAAGAGCCAAATGATCTGTGCAACTGGGCTTCCAAACCCAATAGCAGCTACATGAGATTGTCAATATCAAATGGAAGGCTACACTTCTTTTGCGGGATTTTGTTTTTTCATTTTTGAAACATGGCCTCACTGGAACTTGCTATATAGTCCAGGCTGGTCTTGAACTCATGATCCTCCTGCCTCAGCTTCCCAAGTGCTTTGATTACGGTTACAGGCATACACTAACACACTGGCGGAAGGCTGCATTTCTAAGCTTCCTCCAACATGGCCAAGTCTACTTCTCTAGTCAAGCCTGATATCCTCCATTCAACGTCCCATGAGTTGGAAAAACAAAGTCATTCGAGAGCCAGATGTGCTAGGGCACAACTATAATCCCAGCGGGCAGCAAGATGGCAAGTTGGAGGCCAGCCTGGACCACATAGTGAGAAAGAAAGTGAGAGAGGAGTGGGGAGAGGGAGGCTGAGGAGAAGGAAAGGATGGGGAGGGGAGAGGAGGAGGAAGAAGAGGAGGGGAAGGGAAAGGGAGGGAGGGAAGAAGGAAGGAAGACATAAAACGGAGCTCTAAGTCAGTGTCACAGATGATGACAATCACAGTGCCCTTTGTGAAGCTGTTATGAAATGACATCCAGGTTGTTTTGTCATATTCTGCAATCTCAATCTCCATTTCATCTGGTCTGACTAGTGAGCAGTACTGATTCCAGTTTTGTGTGCTCTAATTTTCCACTTCTTAACAATTGCCCTGGGGCATGAAAGGCTGTCTTCAAGGAGGTGGCACTACCTCTCCCAGAGTCTGAAGAGTCGATAAAAACTCTGAATCTACTTCTCCAACTAATAAGAACACTATGGAAGCCTTGAGTTCAAAACCCTGTATTGCAAAAAAAAAAAGTATGTATATCTGCCTGAAAAATTGGGACAGATGACTCCATCTCTATGTTGGAAGGCTGGCTCCTCTCCTGCCCTTCTTAGTTTTTTTTTTCTTTTGGAGACAGGGTCTTGTTATTTATTTAGCTCAGGTTAGTGGCCTGGAATTCACTATGTACCTCAGGCTGACAAATGCAGGATCCTCCTTCCCTCAGCCTCCCAAGTACTGAGATTACAGGTGTGCACCACCATGCTCAGTTTGCCCTCTTTAGGTTTAAATGCAGCCTTTAAACTGTGATTACTGTGGTGCCTTCAAACTACATCTCATGTTTGCAGAGATTTTCAAGTTCTGTATCAATCCAGTTTCAGAAGAGGAGGTAAGAAAATACTCTTTCCCTGCACTAACAGCAAGAACGTTAGCGCTTTAAGATTATTAGGGGCAATTGCTTTCCCTTGCAACTCCCCCTGTTGAATGGAGTACGGGCACTGAGAAAGAAAAGTGGAGCTCAGGACTGCACAAGGTACTCACAGTAAAGCAAGTCTTGTTCCAAAACGCCAGGGGCTCACTGCTTCTATCAGACCACCCTAATCCTAAACAGCCCTTCAGGTCTAGTTCTCTCTAGCCATCTGCAGTGTCTATTGTCACTCCAATTACAGACTACGTTCTTACAGCAAAGGGCTCAGCTCATCCTCTATACTTTTCCCAAAGCACAACAGGAGGGCTCTGAGCACTGAACAAGTATGCACTGGGTCTTTTTCATTTAAATTGAAATCCAACTGTTCTGCATTCTGAGCATCAAGAACCAAATTTCTTGCTGAAATTCATCCACTGAGGGTAGTAGGAGGGGGAGCAGAGATGAAATTTTCTTTAAAATTTGTTCCTTTGCCACCCTTTATGTAGAGGCCCATTTTCCTGTGCTTTGCCATCTGGGCAATGGTTACAACAGCCACTGTGTCTTTCCGAAGTGACTCCTACCACTCCTAAGAGCATATTCAAGATGTGGCCTGGAAAGACACCTCCTTCAACCCAAGGATTGAGTCACCTTCAAACGTTCTTCTGCAGTACCCTTTTTCCTGTTACTTTTCTCTGAAACTAGAAGGAGCTCCATAGCGAGACCCTGACTCCAAAAGAAAGAAAAACAAAAAGAGCCTACTTCCACCACTTTTTCTAACCTTTTCTAAAGAGGGCTTTCAGAATTTAAGCAAGCTGACACACAGGTGTTCTGAGTATTCTCTTTGCTCTGAAGCACGTTAGATATAAGAAGGTCACAGGACCTGGAGTTCTTCATGATTATATAACATTAAGGTTCTGAGAATCTGACTGTGTGTTTATTTCCAATTATCGGGTGGGCCTGTGAGGATAGCTGTACGTCCCCACATAAACACACAGACTTCAGAAAGGAGACAATGTCATTCAGAATATGACCTCAAACCTTCCACAAAGAGCCAGAAAAGCACTGTACTAGCCACACTGGATTTAAGGGTGTCTTCTATCTCTAAAGTCCTAGTGTTCAAATGACCAAAAAAGGGGCTGGTCCAAACACCGTACAGGAGAAACCAAACTGTTTTTAAAAACTAAAATAAGAGGCCATGCTAAGAAAGAGAGGATCTTATCAGAGAACAGCAGGGCCAATCAAATAGCAAAACAGCAGAGGCTGTCATAGTTTCCAAGTCCACATTGGGCAGCCCTCCTTCCTACTCTGCCCGAGACCAACCTGCAAACCCAGAGCTAACCCAGCTGCTGGCTGTTTTCTGCAACTGGCGTCAGCAAACTTACATGCTGGGACTCACCAAGCACAGCAAGTGAAAATCTACAAGGAGAGCTCTCCTTCAGCCAGAAGACCAGGACTACTCTAGTCCATCACCCCACAAATCTCCTGGTGCCTGTGCACGAAGACTTGAAACCTGTTGGTTTCTAAAGCAACATTCTCGATTTCTATGCCATCCTTACCTGAGCTGCCCTGTTTCTACCTAAAACCTGAAGAAATCATGCTGTCTCCCCGGGCTCCAGAAATCAGGTGGTGCCCACCGTTTCTTACACTTGAGTTAAGAGCAGCTGGACATTAGAAAAAAAGGCCTAAAGCCTGACTTACCAGCATAAATATCTATTCTGGTAGCATCAGCATCTCTGAAAAAGTAAAGGAAAAAGAAAGACAGGATTCAAATGGGAATATGAAATATCAACAGCAAAACAGAATTTTGGCTGGAATGCATACTGTTTTTGAATCTTTCAGAAAGCCATAAAAAACTCTACATACGTTAAAGCTTTACTTTCATGCTTGGCCACACCGTATTTCTTAAGACATCTGCGAAATACTTCAGGAGCCCCAAATTATTTAAGATAATCACATGACACAAAAGAGGTCCAGGATCCTTTTTTTTTGGTGGGGGGGAGGGGGAAGAGGCAGTACTGGGGTTTGAACTTAGGGCCTCACACTTGCTAGTCAGGTGCTCTACCACTTGAGCCCCAGCCCAAGCCCCTGGATACACTTTTTTAATGCCAAGTTCAAGGTGCAAACACCTGGAGGATAAGAACACTTCGCTTCATGTACTAATAAATGTTTCTCTCTCTTACCTGACTACAATCATAAACAGACATTCCTTCTCACCGTGATTTGAAGAAAAACTACAATCCACAAGACCTGTGAAAAATTGTGCCTCACAGTATACAAATGCTGCAGAGAGCAAACTGATTCCTGAGTCCATAATCTTATCCTCCATCAACATGAAAGTAAGTCACAGAATCCAGTTAAGACTCCGGCCATTGGCTGAAATCATAGATTCAGTCACTAATGAAGACTTCTATAAAGACCTGAAAGTCATTTTGTAATCCAATTACGCCAACTGCAGACAAGGAAACTGAGGCACAGTTTTGTTGGGTTTTTTTGTTGGTGGTTGGTTGGTTTGGTTTTTTGAGACAGACTCTTTTTATATAGCCCAGGCTGGCCTGGAACTCACAATCCTTCTGCCTCAGCCTCCTAAATGCAGGAGTTACAGGCATGGTTACGATGCCTGGCTTCATACATACAGAAAATCCACTCAAATCCACATAGCTCAAGGGCTGGGGATGTAGCTTTGTGGCAGAGTGCATGGTTAGCAAGTCCAAGGCCCTGGGTTCCATCCCAGCACCAAAAAACAAAACCAAACTAACAAAAACCCACACAGCTCTATACATACCTATTCTCAAAGACAAAAAAACCTTTTTTTAACATGAGATTGGCAGAACATGTATGGGTAGGAAAACATACTCCCAATTCCTCAAAGGATATTAAAAAAAAAAAGCCGCCTACCACAGCAGCACACATGGTGAGGTCCTGTCTAATTAAAAACAGTACTGATGTATATGGGTAACTATACAAACACTAAGAATTAGAAGAACGCTCACTCTAATTCAAGATCTGCTTTGAATTATTTCCACTATCAACTCTTTTCCTTCATTAGTCATCAACACTGACCAAAGAAGAACTGAAAAGTCTGAATTTTGCATTTGCATTCAAGAATAAGACTGAGACATTATTTTCATATTTCGATCGGGACTTTTGTCCATGAATGATCCCAAAGTTCTACTTAGTCTTCCACAGTACTATCTGTGCTTCCACCACTAAGAACTCAGTGGAAGACAGCGCAGGTGCAATTTCTTCCAAGAGTAGCTCCAACGGTGGAGGACAATTTGATCAATGGGAGCCCCCTTACAATAAAACACCTATATTAGAAAGATACAAGCACTGGCCTAGTTCTAAAGACAGTTGGTGGTGTACTGTCCTGGCATGAATTAACCTGTCCTAGTAATCTGACTTCTAGGATTCGACCTTAATTGCCTGCTCTTCACGATTACACAGGGAAGGTGGTTTGAGAGGTGGTAAGTTGAAAATGGAAGGGTGAATCAGTGCACTGTTAAACTGTGTTTGGACTGGCGGCATGGCTCAAGAGGCAAAGCACCTGCTTTGCAAATGTAAAGCCATGAGATCAAACCCAAGTCCCACCAAAAAAAAAAAAAGAAAAAGTGTTGCTTATGGGCCTCGTAGGAGTTGCAGCTGCTACAGAAATTTCTTCCTCTCAAGTCTTCAAAGCAAAAAGGTTACGATGACCCGAAAGTTTCCACTCCAAGCAGATGACGTACCTTGCGTTATCAACAAGTTCAGCAAGAGCTCCAAATAAGAATTCATGAGTGGTTCTGAAAAGACAGATGCTGAGAGTCAGAAGAGAACATGAATTCAGCAATAACGCCTAGTCAGTCAAGTTGGAAAACATTTAAAAGTTCTTAGAATAGCTCTGAAATCTCCATTTGCATTACTCATTTACACTGATGAAACTGAAACTGCTCGCTACTCAACTGCAACTTATAAAGCACCCAGCCTTTCCAGAACTTAAACCCCTCACATGCTAACCAAGTCTGCTACCTGTGGGAAATGTTTGCTCTTCCTGTTTCCAACTGGGAAACCCACCGTAAAGCACTAACAATCCTCACGTGTGCTAACTGGAAAAGCGTGATTCTGCCTAGAAAAAATGCCTGTCTTTTATCTTTCAGTGCCTTAAACAGCTGTCAGCTTCTGCAAAACTCACAGGAAGAACTGTAAGCACAGCTCTTCTGCAGAAATACCGGATTTCTGAATAATATGGTCACTGGGTATCTTCCCAGAGGAGATGACCACTGGCTCCCCTCAACAGTGTTAGACTTACCAGGATCCCTAGGAGACTACAACCAGTTCTTGTCCTTCTAGAAGGAACTGCTCAAGGTCTTTTTCTTTAATATTAATAAAGTTTGTTTTAGTCAAAATTTGAAAAAATCAAGGTTATTGTTTCCCTCTCTCTCTCTCTTGCAAAAGGAGTTTTACTTTTAAGATGCATGAGAGCATTTGGGTTTCCTTTTTTCACTGGTAGATCACCAGACATTGGTAAAAGGCCAAGTCATCCAGCGAGCATATTCAATTTACACTCTCGTTAATTTGTGCCATTTCCCAGAAGAGTCTCCATTAAATCAAAAAGTAGGATACGTCCACAAAGAACTATCTAGAAAACAGGATGACTTTCAACTAGAGAAAACAGAAAATCACTGACTCACACAACGTATTATATCATCAATTTTTCATGAACACTCAAATTACTATTCCTGTTTTGGCAGCATACATTTCAGCCAAAGGAAAAATTCCTAAAACTTTAGAATGAATATTTAAACATTAAATAACCAGCAGCTAAGATCTCCGATCACTTACAATGTGTTAAACAAACTAGAAAACATTTTTTTATCAAATAAATACTATCCAGGGAACACTGGTTTTTCAAGAACTCTTCCAATTTTTCCAAGTGCAAATTTTGAATTAAGTTCTTGCAATTTTAGGAAGAACTTTTCCCCCCAGAAGAACAGTGAGTATGTTTGTTGCCAATCCGAAGGGAGGACCAATAAATGTCACAAAGACAGAAATCTTATCACCAATTCACATACAAGTAGAACAAATTCTTGCGAAAATCCAGAAGAATCCACATGGAAGAACCTAACTTCTAAAAGGAAATCTGCCGGAAACAGTCATATCTTTAATTATTATAAATATTTAGGTCTCAGCTGGGCATGGTGGTACATGGCTGTAACCTGGCACCTAGAGGCTGAGGCAGGAGGAGGATCAAGAATTCAGGCCAGCCTGAGCTACACAGAAAAGACCCTATCTTAAAAATTTTGTCTAGAATTATCACTTTAAATTCTTCAAATAATGAACTGGTTCAACAAAAAAGTATTCTATATACTCCACTAAAGAAACAGGAAGAAGACGGGCACAGCGGGGCACATGGTAAATTCCAGCACTCAGGAGGCTGAAGCAGGAGGATCCTGAATTCTAGGTCAGCCTGTGCTACATATTGAGGCCTCATCTCAAAAAAAAAAAAAAAAAAAGTGGTATTTGTCCTCAAGCTTCCAGGCCTAATAAGTAACTTCAGTTATTTGCGAGGCTGAGATTGGGAAGACAGAGGTTTTAGGCCAGCCCCGACAAATGGTTCTTGAGACCCCATCTCCAAACTAACCTGAGCAAAACGGACTGGAGGTGTGGCTCAAGCAGTAGAGCTCCTGTTTTGCGTAAGTGAAGCCCTGAGTTCAAATCCCAGTCCCACACACACACACAAAAAATGGTGACTCTGTATTTTAACGTAAGTCACAGTATCTCAGAAAGACAGCTCTTGGAGAAAACTAAACAACAGCACAACCATACTAAGAATAAGATCCTAAGTTATATTCGAATGCATTATCTTTGGAATAAATTGAGTTAAAAAAATGAAGCCCTGCCGGCAGAGTGGCTGAAGTGGTACAGCACCCACCTCGAAAGCATGAGGCCCTGAGTTCAAACCCCACTGAAGTTTCTGCCCTTTTGTAATGAGACGGGTGAACAGGAATTATCAGGAAAATTCATTCTGGCACCATTTGCCATTAGGACAAGAAAACGGAAGATAAAAATAGCAACTGTATCTCAGCACTACAGATTTCTGATTGCTTCACATGAGTCATTTGGAATCCAATAAGCTGATCTCAAAATCGCAAACACAAAGCACCTCTAGTTAAACTTCACTGTTCTCTTCACAAAGTTAGAAATGTGCCTTGCACATGTAGGACCTAAGAAAAGAGTTCTAAAGGCTTAAAAAAAAATTGCAGTCTTTGATGTTCCACACAGTATCAATGCTGTTCCACACATATAGGGTTCAGATAAGCTAAGAGATAACCTTTAAAATGTAGGCAAGGATTATTTTTCTGATGGCAGTTGTGTATCATGAAAGGGGCCTTTGGTTGCAACTCCTGATAACGCTCATGAACCCTAGACTCCAACTCATTCATGATGGGTTTTCCAGATGCTAAAATCACAGTCACAAATATTTCTTAAAAATATGAAACACAGCATACCAACTGACTAAGCTCCCTTTTGCCAAGTATTTCGAGAGGTATACTCGTTACTAGATAACATTTGAGATAGTTATAGAAAAAAATTTTCTTTGCAGATCTAAAGATCCTTTGCCTGTGATTTAAGAATGCTCAACCATCTGGAGAGAGTTTTTTTTTTTTTTTTTAAATGAAGTCTGCTTTCAAATGATTGTGGCTTTTAGCACTTGTGCCACAGTAAAAATAGGTTTGGAGCTCAGCATTTCCAATGACAAATTTGTGTGTAAATTACTTGCTGTGTGAGGAAAATGGTCTATGTTGACAGTCATCCTGAATTTAAACCAATAGACTATCCTCAAGTCCATGCAGTGATATTTTTTGCTGAGTTCTTGGGTATGTTGACAATATGGTTAATTGCCTTACTTAGCAGAAAATACAGGTGAGAAATTCTGCACGAACTATTTTACATTCAAATGGCTTTAATATATTTCCGGAGTGTGGACCTACATTTCAACAGGTTTACAAGTCATAAGAAACAGAAGTCTCTGAGTTGACAGGTTCCTCTACATTCTCTTCCTATATGGATAAAATCATCCAGAAATATGTTATAGCCAGAATAAAAAATTATTAAATGTGCCAAGAGAAAGGCATAAAAATTAGCCATCTTGAGGGGGACAAGAAAGAGATAAGACAACAACAATAAAAAAGAGGTAGGAGGTAGTTACTATGATCAAAATACATCATATGCCTGTATGGAAATGTCACGATACAACTCCCTAAAAGTACAATATATGCTAACTAAAAAGTTCACTTAAAAAAGCAGCCATCTTATACCTAAAATGCTTATACCTTAGGTATAAGATCTTATACCTAAGCATCCTGCTCTATTACGCCACACAGAGGTGTGGCAAGGTGAGTGACTCAGATATACATCTTAGGCCAAAGGAACATAATGACCACCACATCAGGAACAGAACCCACCACCAAAGAATAAAACAACAGCATAAAACTCCTTTTACGTAAAAACCCTAGCTGCATAATCACATAAAAGCAATGGCCAGTAATGAAAGAAATTATACTTTCAGGTATAATTCAGGTTATCATGAGAACCTCCTAGGCCAGTTTTCAGGCTTAATCCTGGTGTAACCAAGTAACTATCAACAGTTACTACAGGACATAACACACACACAAAAATCCTCAAGTTGTTTACTGTCTCCAAAGATGCTTCTGAATTTACTAAGAATGTATCTGCCTGATGACTGACAACAAACAGCTAAGATGCCACCACAGACGCTTTGGGCTTACATAAATTAGTAACCAATGTTTCCTGTGCACCATGTGTGAGCCAAGAATTTTATGTCATTTGACATAATCTTCACAAACAATCAGATTAGCTTCACCTTACAGATGAGGAAACTAAGGCTCAGAGGCTGATTTGCCCAAGGGTACAGACAGGAAGCAGTCAAGTCTAGGGCTGGCTCGCTCCCAAGCCCAGTCTTTGCACTCAACCACAATCCTTTCCACCCTTCTGGTCTGGGCTTTGATTCAAGTCTGCTAAACGGAGGTAAACATTTCTTTCATAATTCACAATATGGCAAACTATAGGTATCAGACATTCTAGAATGGTCTTGTATTTTTAAGATTTTAACAGAACAAAGGAGAATATACTGTGTGACCAAACTTTCTTCTCTGAAGGTGACTTGTCAACCACATTACAGAGTAAGTTCATCTATCATTACAAGTAACATTACAAGTCACATCACGTGAGAATTTAAAAATTTTAGTGATCTCTTAAGATTGAACTTCCAATCAAGTCACAACGAAATCTCTTGAAATAAGGTACAGACAAAAAAACCTGGAGGCCAGGCATGGTGGTATATACTGTAATCCCAGCACTCAAGGGGCTGAGGCAGGGGGATAATGAGCTTGAGGCCAGCCTGGGCTACATATTGACACCTGCCTCAAACAAAACAAAACTTTTAACTTGGTGTTCTGCAGTTCCTATTTTCTTCTGGTGGGACTAGTCACATACAAGAGCAGAACAACTTCAAAGGTCAAAGTTGGGATCCAGATAAGAAATTCCAGAGCTTCCAAAATATATTCCAGCCTTCCTATGTTCAAGCAAGCTGGAAATTCCAGTTCAACATAGGTAAGTAAAATTCACAGAAAATTCTTCAACATCACCTTGAGCAAGTAATGTTTGCTTCTTTGCCTTGGCACTGCCCACCTACTGTTAGTAAGCTATGCAATAACAAAAGAAAAAAGAAAGCAAAGAGAAATATCCCATAATCCTCAAACTAGAAACTCACTGGGATAAACTAAAACTGCTATCGTTTCAAGTGGGGAGAAAATCCTCTGAGGCCCTTAAAGATAAAACTGGCTAGAGTCAGCACTGCTTAATGTTTAAAAGCACTAAACACAGCAGCCAAATAAATCTTATTGGGTACTTTTAATCTTCCACTCAAAAGCTGTGTAACCATTAGCACGTTAACTGAATTGCCTTGTGCCTCAGTTTCCTCAAATGAAAAACAGGAACAATCCTTAACTCACAGGCTTGTTTTTAAAGAAAACAAACAAAAAACCCTAGTAACATTTTGAAATAGTGATTGGCACAAAGTAGTTAAATGTTGGGATTATTTATTATTGCATGAAATCTTTGGAGGCTGGAACAAGAACCCAGATTCTGAAAGCCAGTTCATGATCTTCCAAGATTTTCATGACCTCTCCAATTCCAAATTTGCTGGTGTTCCAAAATTCAAAACTGACAGAGCCACTCACGGAACACAATAGTCCACAAACACCTAAGTGGCCTTCAGGTGAAGGTGGTCTTCTTAATATGGAAGTTCAAACATTAAGAAAAAAAAAAAGACACCCAAGGTTTTGTCCAAGGTTGAATTAGCACCTATGATCAGATACCTCATCTAAGTAGGTTCCAGATTTGCCTCCTGGAAGTGTAAGAATTCACTAGGCTACCTCCATGGTACTTTCATCTAGCCCAAGAAAAAGCTTCCTAAACAAAGCAAAATAAAACCACTCTCAGCATTTGGCAAATTACTTCACTACTCAGGAAAAAATTTATTTCCTTGATCAGAGAAAAAAGAGCAAAAAAATTACATACATTGTGGCATCACAAACAACATACTATCTTTTCCATAAAAGACTAAAGATTACTGTCCAATCGTTGGGCAGGGGAAGTCTCTACTCTCAACTCTGAAAGCTTTTCAGACCATTCATTCAGCAGTTCATCTCCTCTCCTGATACTACACTGGTACTATACTGGAAGAATACTTACCTTGTCTCACAAATTACAGGTGAGTTGAAGGATTAACCCTAAAACATGTCAGACCAAATTGGAATGATGGTGATCTCTTCATGAACTCAAGAACCATGAACACAGCGTTCTGCGATTTCACACATTTTGGGGGAAAATTACCTGTAAATACAGGGCTGAAACAAGTGCCCTTTCCTGCTTAGCATATACTAACTACTGGATTAGAGGGAAGACCAATGTCCTACAAGATAAAGCCAACTGCTTGCTGAAAAAACAAAAATTGTCTTCTCAAGAGATCATTTAAATGTCTTCTTTTTTTCTTTGCTTGCTGTTTGAGAGGGAAACCCAACTGTCTAGACTACTGTGCCTAAAGAGAAACAGGTGATGTTAAAAATGGTGCAAATTTTGGGGATCCAAAGAGCAGTGTATGTCGGTTTCCTATGAGACCCTTGAATGAAACAACACAATATCCTGACTCCAAATAACTAAAGCTTGCATTCAGAAAGTTTTTGATCCAGTAACTGAAAATCAGATTCTTCTGGATTAGCAACAAATATTTCACTGGTCTTAGAACTTTGATCCAGTAACTGAAAATCAGATTCTTCGGGATTAGCAACAAATATTTCACAGATCTTAGAAGTTCTTCATCAGAGAGCCTCAACACATCCAAGTGATAATGAAAATGTTACCACTCCAGTGAGACATCCCAAGGAGGGAACAAGCCCAATTTCCTGCGGAAAGGATTTCCATATTACCATCAAGGAATGAGCTATGAGTGACCTCAGTGGCAACTATTAGGATACTTACGAATTTGTGTGCAGATATTCAAAAGTGAGCTGAGCTCGATTCAGACTGCTGTAATTTGAGAAAGCCATGACTGCAAGGAGGTCTCCAGTCTTGCACCCACTAGCTTGACAAGTCTATGAGATTGAGCAGATCTTCCTCCAAGACGCTCTGCAGTTAGGGCGACGTCAGTGGGCTCTTCAATGACCGTTAGAAACAAGTCACCTTAGTGAGTGACCCAAATTACAATCAAGAGAGACTGAGAACAGCAAGCGATCTCCTCGATGGATTTTCCTCTCTTCTCAATATTTAGGTATGGAATATTCTGGAAAGGACAACGTCAAGGTAAAAACCCTGCAGCCCTGGAGGATTTGGGAGGTCAATTTCTGAAGTTCAATTAGCCCAATCCGAGTCCAAAATGGATGGTTCTGGAATTATCAGTCGTCGAGTTGACGGTTGATTACTGCTTCATCTTCTCGGTCTTCGAGCTTCCCCCCGCCCCACCCCACCCCACCCCCGATTTTGTTTTTTGGTTGTTTTTTTGTTTTTGTTTTTTTTTAATTTTTTTCTTTTGATTTTTGTGGCCCTAAATTTTCCTCGATTAGGAAAACCCCAGAAATTTAACCCCCTTTGGTTATAAAACGGAACCTTCACTCATGTCTTCGCCACCAGCGACGATGTCACGATCCTTAAACAAAACCCGGGACTGGAGGGGAGAGAGAGAGACCACGATGTGGACGGAGCGCATATGGCGCCGGCTTCACCACGTCCCAACCGAACAGCGCCGATGAGATGGTGGCTTGGGGGTTCGGGGGAGAGGAAGGGGTTTTTCCCCCCCCTCTCCTTTTTTCAAAACCCGACCCAGCCCAGCTTGCGCTTTCTTTCACCCCAATCTCCACTGGGTGGTGTGGGTCAAATGACCTCACAACGGACCCAAAGAGCCGCCTCTCAACGAGGCCGCCCTTCCCCCACCCCGCCCCGTCCCCCGCCGGGTGGGCCGCGCCCCTCCCCCACGGCCTGAGGCCCCGTCCTCGGTCCCGCGGCCGCCGCCTCCTCCCGGTAGAGGAGTTAAGTCCCAGTTTTCTCAACGCCCCGATCGAAGGCAGTGGCGAGGGTGCCACCCGATCGGGCGTTGCCCAGAGCTCGCAGCTGCCTTTGTCCCTCCCCGCGGAATTGGAACCCAACAACCGCAGCGCGCTCTTGGAACCATGTGCTGCCGCCACCCGCGCCGCCGCCGCCGCCGCCGCCGCCGCCGCCGCTGCCGCCCGCGCACTGCGCTGGATTTACCAAAAGCAACAACAACAAAAAAATAAAAATGCCCGGACGATACGAAATTTAAAAATTTCTCAGTCTCTGTCGCCGCTGACGCTCGCTTCAGCCACCTGAAGGCACTGCTTTTGTCTCCGCTAAGCAACACACAGTCGCGGCCACCTCGCTCACTCCCCGACGCCCCAAGCCCCCGAGGCCTCCGCGGTGTATTCCGCCAATCACAGAAGCTCCAGCTTCTCCCGCCCCCCGCCCTGGTATCCTGCCTCCTGATTGGCTAACAGCGTAGAGCCACGTGACCGGATCTTGGTTGGCCGGTCCCCGCCCCTCCTCCGTCACGTGACCCCACGCGCGCCTCTCTTCCTGCTTTCTTGACCCTCTCCGCCATTTAAAGAAACAGTACCGGGGGCGGGCCGAGCCGACGCAGCCGGGACGGTAGCTGCAGCGCGGACCGGAGGAGCCATCTTGTCTTCGTCGCCGGGGAGTCAGGCCCCTAACTCGAAGAAGCCCTGGCGCGCCCTCCCCCCCTCCCCGGTCTGGTAGGGCGAAGGAGCGGGCGTGCGGTCGATCGAGCGATCGGTTGGCGGCTCTTTCTCCTGCTCTGGCATCCAGCTCTTGGGGCGCAGGCCCGGCCGCCGCGGCGCGCGCCCGGTGGCCGTTGGCGCTCGCGCCGCGTCTTTCTTCTCGTCCGCAGAACTCGGGCGGCGGCCTATGCTTTTGCGATTCGACGAGGAGTCGTCCGGGTGGTCGGCGGCGGCGGCGGCGGCGGGCAACTGCTCCGCCCCGCTCCCGGGGAGGCGGCGGCGGCGGCGGCGGGATTTGGCGCGGCGGGGGAGGCGGGGGTGTCCGGGGCCGGCCTGGAGGCCTGGCGCCACCCTTCAGGGCCGGCAAGGACCCAGCTGGGGGGACAGGAAGGGGCTGGAGGATGGTTGGTGGTGGGCTTCCTACTTTGCCTTTTCCTCCTTATGCCACCATAGTGGGGGGCGGGAGGTCTGGCGGCAGCTCCGGGGTGGGTATGCGAACCCCGGAGTCGGAAGAGCTGGGTTTGCTTCCGGGCCTAGTAGCCACCAGCTGGCTGAGTGACCTGGGGCAAGTCGCTCTGTAATTGTGTCTGCGCCTCAGTTTCCTCCTCTGCCTATCAAACGTGTGCGGGGGATTGGGGGTGGGGGGAGGCGCTTTGTAAACTGCAAAGCGTCGGTGTGAAGGATGAGAGGGTGACTATTGTTTGTGATGGGGTTTTTTTTATTGTTGTTATGTTTCTGGAGTTAAGAAAATTTAGCGATTGCCCCCATTCCCTGCCTTTTCAAACTTGGGAACCTTGGATTGCTCCTTGGATGGAGACCCATCATCTCATTTGTATTGCAGAAATGGGTGGAATCGTTGGGGCTTTTTAAGGGAACGATGGTCCAGCGCTGGCAAATTTGCAAAAAGCGAGCTGTGACCCGGCAGAATTCACCATCCCTTTATGCCAATCAGGAGGAAACTGAGGCCTAGATTTCATTTGGGACCCTTCACAACCAATTTGAAGCCCCTTCCCCCCCCCCCCACACACACACGTTTGAGTTCCCTGGGATATGTGAGCTGTTTCTGTGCGTAATGGACGTGGGGTAACATCACTCCTCTGCTCGGCTTCTGAGTCCTTTCCTTTCACCACCGGGTGCCTGAGGGGCGGCTGATGCGTAGGGTACAGTGGCACCCCACATAAAGCAGCTGTAGTGTTTTTGCAGTGTCGAGAAGCGTGTTTTAATCTTTGGCCCAGCAATCTTTTGTTACTGCTGCTTTTGCCGCTCTTTTTCTCTCATTGACTATGGTTGCCATCTGTCACTTGCTCCTACTTTGTGTCCCTAGTTTGTGTGGCTGGTAGTGAAACAAGGCTTATTTTTTTAATGGTGCATGTGGATTTTTAGCAAGCAGGCTCGCTGGAACAGACTGAACCAGGCATGGAATTCTTGAAGATCTTTGGGTTTTGTTTGGTTTTGTTTTGTTTTCCTGTATTAATTGGAAGTTCATGTTCTCTGAAAAGTTTTGTTAGAACTGGTGAACTTCAAAATCTGTAGATTTGGAAATGCTTCAAAGCTTCCCTTTTTCCTGGCCTGCCTTGTATCCTAGTTGCTTGTGAGTGTGATACTGAGATGGCAACATTTTTTTTTTTTTTTTTTTTTTGTCTTCCTCACTTGTCACCTGCTTTTATCAAAAGTCCAGGCCATTATCCAGCAAACACTATAAAAATGTTTGAACAGTTGGATTTCAAACATTTTCATTTTGTGGAGTGGTGCTTACCAATTTGGTAGAGCTCTAAGCGAGAAAATACAAACACATTTAAGTGTTTTTTGTCGGATTATATGTTAGCCAGTTCTGCCATTTCATTGAAATGTCTGGAAAAAAAATCAATTGACTATTCCTTTTACCTGAAGGACAGAGACAAATAATTTCACTTCCAGAGAAATGACTGTTTTGGAGCAACATATTGGTGGTTAGCTCTTTTGTAATTAAATCTGGACGTACCTCAAAAGAATCTTAAGACTGTAGTGATAAAGAGGCTTTCCTCTGGAGAAAGGAGGAAAAAAAAAAAACCAACTGGAACTCAAGAGCTTGATATTCTGTGACAAAACAGGAGATGTCCAGGATTGGAGGTTGAAAAGGTTTTGCAACAGTGTCCTGCAATCATTGGAGCAGATAGCTTTCAGTGTAGCCACAGCCATGGACTCCAGAGTCCCAGATTCTCAAGAACTGGACGTGTGACCCTGAAGAGCTTGGCAGGGATTTTTCTTTTCTTTTCTTTTCTTTTCTTTTCTTTTTTTTTTGAATTCTGGAACTGTTGACCTTGCTGTGAGAAGAGAGGCAACACTAAGCATGCCCTGCCACCAGCTCTGTTACTGGGAAGCAGAAGACCTGAGTTTCTGTGCAGCCCCTCAGTGCAAACTGACAACACCCCATCCACAGTGAATTACGGTACTTGGACTTTTGCAAATTGCTTCATTCACCATTTCTGCACTTCTGTTCATACTCTCTCCTCTGCCCTGGAAATGCCCTTCTCTGGTTTATAACCTGTCACAACTATCCCACAGTATCCAATTCAGATGCTCTCTTGCCTGTGAGTCTCATTGCAACTTTAGCCAGAATATTTTCTTTATCATGATACATTGTACATCTCTTATCTGTCATTGTATGAAGAATCCTGTAGGGATGTGCACCCATGTGTTTCCTCTGTAGAATTCAAGGACCTTGGCCTTGTGTGTCTGTGCCACACATTCCGTCATTTCTGATGAAGAAGCGTTTGTTAGAAAGGAAAGGTTTAGAGCACAAGCTATCACAGAATCAGCACTTCGTGCATACCTATTCACTATAAGGACTAAAATTACTTTTGATTAAAAGAAGTCACTAGCCGGGCACTTGGGGCTCACACCTGTAATCCTAGCTACTTGGGAGGCTGAAATTGGAAAGACAGCAGATTGAGGCCAGCCCAGACAAATAGTTTGAGAGCCCCTCATCTCTGAACTAACCAGAGCAAAATGGACTAGAGGTGTGGCTCAAGCAGTTCAGTGCCTGTTTTGCAAGAGGAAAGTCCTGAGTTCAAACCCCAGTCCCACCAAAAAGAAGTCACTAGATGTGGGCCACGTTTATTTCGTGTTTTACTTTTCTTGGTGGAGGAAGAAAAGCTTTATTATCAAGCTGGCGCTCACCTTCCAACAACCATCTCATCCCTTGCTCAAAGGGAGAGTCTTCTGTATAATTTTTTCAAAGGCTGATATGTGGGTCTCAGGCAGGTGGGCACGTTGGCTGTCCAGTGTTCCAAAGAATGACCTCTTGTGGAATGTGGGCTGTGTACATCTTAACCTCATTCATCGACCGTGGGAGGTACAGTCCAGTGGATGGAAGGTTCAGTCCAACATGGTGGGGAGGGCATGCAGAGCAGAGCAGATCCTGTCATGGCAGTCAGGAAGCAGAGAGAAAGCACTGCTTTCTTCTAAATTTAAAGGATCTGGATCCAAGTGTAGTGGTGCTCATGGGTAATCCCAGCAGGCTACTCAGAAGGCTGCGGCAGGCTACATAGTGAAACCTTGGCTCGAGAAAATCTAAGACCCAAAGAGCTCTCAGACTTAAAGAGGAACTGATACGTTGAACGGGGAGTTAAACCCAGAAGGGTACAAGGGTCACAGCCTCTTCCTGCAGACAGTCTTGGTGAGGGACAAGTTCATAAGACAGTTTGAGGCTGCCATTAGGAAAGGTGGAAGGGCAGTCTTTCATTTGACTTCTTGTTGGAATGTAAACTTGACATCTCAGTTCTTTTCGTACCACCTGTGAAGCCACTCCTCCCCACCAACTAATACCTGACAGATACAAACAAATGACTGCTCCAAGACGGGAGCTTTTAGCAAAGGTCCTGTTTGCTGCATCCCTGAGACAGCTCCGAAAACTGTCTGCTAGAGAATGCTTTCTGTCCTTGTCAGCCAGGCTTTTCTGTTTTTCTTTTTTGCCCCCCCCAACTCCCCCCAACACATGTTATCATCTGTCATCCTCTAAGCCAGGCCTGTGAGGAGTTCACACACCCCGCTGTTAGACTCCTGTGTTTACAACACCATGCATTGGTTATCTTCCCTGTTTTGTCCCCACCCTTTCTAGTTTTATACTTCCTGATTGCTGAATGTTCACCTGGACCTTCTGACGACCTGCCATCTGCTGTTCCATCAGACCGGGTACCTGGATTCTTGTCCATGG